GGACTGCATTAGATCTTCACCCAGACACAATTTGCTGTAAAAACAAAAACAAAAAAAAGATATATATATATATATATATATATATATATATATATATATATATATATATACTGCAACACTCTATAGAGCTCCAGCCTTGGCCTCCCCTCTACATAACCTGACTACACGATTCCCAAAAAAAGAAGAGAAAACCACTTCAGGTCAGTGCTGAGGCCACGGTGTTCGGTTACTACGGAAACCACCAACTTGTGCACTTTGGAGAGAAAGACGTGAAAGGAGAGAGGTGGAGAAACGGAGGCTAAGGGAGGGAGGAAGGAGCCAGAAGTGGGTGAAAGCTGGATGATGGTAGCTCTATGTATAGCTATGTTTCTCTGTTGAGAGAGAGAGAGAGGGAGAGAAAGAGGGAGAAGGAGGGAGTAGCCAGGATCTAAATGTATCAATAATACATGAGGTTGTTCTCCGATATGCTAACATGAATTATTTGACAAGCCGAGCCGACCTGCTTCTCCGTCTCACCCTCATCCCCCCGCTGTATCTCCGTACATCTTCTCATTCTCTCCTCCTTTCACTCCTCTCTATTCTTACACATTGGCTCAAAAATCTGAATCTCCTCTTAGAAGAGCGTCTTTTTTTCTTGGAACCGTCTTCGCTGAATAATCTGGGGCTCGGCGGGTTTCTGAGTCTCCCTCTCTGTCTCCCTGCGCCTAGTGTTTCTGCCCCTTTATAGATTTTTCTCCTTTTTAACTATATCCACGCGTTTTGTGTGGGTTCTCTCTGCCTCCGCCTTTGTGTTTGAGGCTGAGGGAGAAACGCGGGCTCTCGTTTTGATGAGGAGTCGGCACACAAGAAGAGCTTATGAAGTGTATAAAGTGCTTTCACTCGCTATCTCTCCCTCTTTTCCTCCCCTCTATCTGTGACCATCTTGTCTAAGTTTCTCTCTCTGAACTTGGCTTCATTTTTTACACAGGCAGAATGCTTAAGTCATCACATTATTTTCAATCTGTAAAACTTAATTTTTTTACCCTGAAACTTGAACTCATACTCAAGATGTGTCACAACAGCAACTCATCTAACCTCTTACATTACACCCTGTTCTTAAGATCACACAAACTTAAGTTCTGAGGGCCACTTACAATCAGAGCTGAAATAATGAATTAGGCAATTAACTAATCAATTAATTGTAATTTATCAAGCAGTAAGACTAGAAGTCTACAGCCATGCTAGCAGTTCTGTGAGACATGTATTTATTTATTCAATTCATATTCATTGTACCAAAGTTCTTGCCAATCCATCTAATTGTTGCTGAGATGTAGATGAACTGAGTTATACTGCCATTTCTAGAATCATGTCGCAAGTATGGCTAAAAACATTTGCTGGTTTCAGCTTCTTCTGTTTTCCTCTGTTTTATATGATTGTAGATTAAATATTTTCTGTTAAAAGTCATCACCATGGGCTCCAGGAACTTGTGATTAGAATTTATTTTGTATTTTATAGACCGAACAATTGATGAACAAAATACTAAGTAGATTATTTTAATAATGAGTTAAATCATCCGTTTTTTTTTTATTTGGTTTGGTTTATTGACAAGATTCTAATATTTATACAAACAGAACATGTTGGACTTTCTAAATTTACTCTGTCCCTAGAGGCGTACTCTCAGCTTTACCAACACTGCTGCGTACACCTCCTCAGGCTTGAATTCTAAAATGTCTTAATTGCAAAAACTGTTCACCTAAAATAAATGGTTAACCTTTTTTTGGAACTAAATTTCGGTCCACAGATGGGAGCATATGTGACAGTGTGAGCAAAGTCCCCACACCATGAGCATACACACAAAAAAAGGAACCAGAACAAAATCAAAAATCTTTATGCCTTTTTAAACAGTCCCAGAGCCCTTGGAAACGTGTCAGTGCAGCTGAATCCAACACACATGCCCGCAAGCATATTTGTGCTCAAAAACACATACACGCACATTCTTAGATGCTCCAACCAGGCGGTGAGGGCTGGTCCCCTGCCAAATCGGGAATTGGCAAACTGGCAAATCTCAGATCATTTTAAGTCAGTTGGACAGAGATGGCCTTAACGTTAAGATGCTTTTGGGAAGCCTGAGGCCTGAGTTCCCAAAACTATGGATGATGGCCAGTACTTATTCCACTGCACTCTGTTATTCAGTGATGTGTGGAAGACGAGGTAGCAGAGATGTCCATGAGGGACCAAATGCAAGGTCAGGTGTAGTCTTTAGAGACAGAGTCCGGGTTAAGTCTGAAGTTTTAAGAGTCAATAGTTGAAGTCAGGACTCTAGTCTCCCTAATGGTTTTACTTGGCAACAATATTTCGGGAACTGTTCCTGAAAATGAAGTTATATCCTGTTCAGTAATTGATGAGCTTGTAGACAAAACACAATGCTCTGGAAAACACAGCAAAGCTTATGTTTTAATTCTGTTTTTCAATTGTAAAATCGTATCTATTGTTGCACTCTTTGCACCTGCTTATAAGTATAGAAGCCACCAGGAAGATATGGTAGCTAAAAGAGTTCAGTGATCACAAAAGCCAGAAGTATTGTCTGGTTTATGGGACGTAATTATTAGCAGATGGAGAATTACTATATTTTCTACTATTGGATTCAAGCATGTGCTTATCTTCTTACATCTCTAGCATATGAAACGGCTATAAAATATATGATTTGCTAATGAGCAGAATTATAATGGGCAAATAATACAACTTCAATAAGTAAGTGAAATACAGTGAGTGGATAGCAACGTGGCACTCTCTGACTTGTAATGCAAGCTAACCTGTTACATAACCTGCCTCACAACATTGCTAATACCATCTGTCAGAAGGAGAGAGCCGTGGCACTCGTTAAACAAGGTTAACACACTAACAATACACGTGACATAACATACATAACATTAAGATAACTATTTCACTTCAGTTTAGTAGCGTTGAGTTAACAATGTAGAAGTTTTCCTCCAGGTGCTCATACAGTTGGAATCTTCTCTGTTCACATTATATACACAATACAGTTCTTCTACTTATCCCAAGGTCTTTGAAGTCCTGCAATTCAAAGGTTATCTTCTATTAATGCGTCAAGTGTAGGGTTAGTGAAGTAGAAAATCACTTTGAGAGTAGATTTTTTTTTTCCCGTAACGCATGTTGCTGACGCAAATTTGGTTGCCTCTCTCTGCTACCAGCACCTGCTCAGGGAACATAGTGCTCCCAAAGGTCTGACTACATTCTGAATGTCCAGCTCTCACCAGAAAAACCTGAGCTGGTGAAAGTGAATAAAGTAAAGCTGTCATCCTCATTAATATCTCAACATTGAGGTTCTCTCGAGCAAAACAAAAGAGCTCTCATAAGGGGAGGAAAACAAAGCTATATAGTAGCCGCTCAGATGCCAACAGTTAAAGACAGTGGTTGCACTGGGCGACTCCCAGGTGTGAGAGTATGGAAATGTGTAAATGTGAAGCAAGTTGGTGTTGGAAAAAGAGCAGACACGCTGAGCAAACCTTTTCCTGGAAAAGTAAAGTAAAGAGCTTCCAGCACCTGCTTAGTGACATCAGATATGTCAAAATCGACAAGTTAACTTGTGTTGAGTTGAGAAAGTAACAGAAGGATCGAGTTCCTGTTATGTTGCACAGTAGTGGAAAAATGTTCAAATGCAAACAAAGATGTCAGAAAGTCTGTAGAAGTTTTAGCTTTAGATTTGATCTCATTAACATTTTCAAGGGGTCATTACATAATAATTTATGATCTAGTGCTGCCAATCTTCTCAAAGGTTAATCAATTTTTTTTCCAGACAGCTTCCTCTTGCCATTTGTTCGCTCACCAGTTCTGTGAGAGCGACTCAAAAGGAGTCCTAATAAATGACTGAAGGAAAAAAAAAACAGCAGGAGAAAAGTTAATTTTTAAACCTGGCTGGTGAAGCCAAGCGACTCAAGTTAAACCCTCTAAAGCAGCAGGGGTAGCAGTAGGGAGACGTGGGTTAAATCCTCTCTCCCGCTGGTGTCTTAGAGCACGAAACTGAATCCCCACCGGCTCTGGGGGCTGCCGTTCTATAGCTGACCTCTGACCTCTCTGCAGGAAGGCAAACAAACTACAAGGAAAGACAATTTCTCCGAACGTAAAATTAATATTTAATCATCATAGTACGTTTAAGCATCTTGACAGATTAAGTGTTTGAATGATAGCAGAGATAGCTGTGTGCTGCATTTTAATAGAGACTTAAGTTCATGGCCGTGATGAATCATGTCATTCTTCGTTATTAGCTGTTGGCTAATGAGCACAAGCCATTACCATTTGTCAGACAGTGTGCATGTGTTTCGCTAGATCAGTTTTATCTTTTCAGTGATCTAAATTTATAAAATAAGACCAGATGGCCTTTGCCGCGGGGTTCAAGGCATTTTTAGTCAGCTTAATGGCGTGCCGTTAGGAATGGCAATGTCTGTTGGACGGTCGGCGCACCACGTTGGTTCAGACTGAAATATCTCAACAACCACTTGAACGGACTGCACAGATTCATGTTCCATCCTACAGACAGTAGTAATCGACTAGTAGTAGTAATAATAGACAATCTTACAGTTCAGTAACCTTAAACTCAAAGTTAATATTAGGTCTCATACTATACAGTTGCACTCATTTACACACAGTATCTTTTTGTATGTTGCTGCCTGATGCTGATAACCTCCACTGGAGTTATTTGGGGTGACGCGTTTTGGTTGTTGTGGGAGAGGAAATAGTCATTCGCGAGCAGCTGGTAACCTTACAGCCAGAAAACCTCCTTGTAATTTAATGAAGCCAAAATGAAGGCTTATCCCATAAAAGTATTAAAAACGTTTTCCAGCAGGAACATCTGAAATTCAATATTAAAACCAATAAATTGACAATTTGCTTTAAGGTCCATTTGTTTTCTGTGTGTTTCATATTTAATTTTGGATCAACCCCAGTTCAAACATTAATTTGACCGAGCATTAACTTTTTGTTTTCTGTCTTTCTTATCCCAGCGTTTCATCCAGTACCTGGCCTCCAGAAACACTCTGTTTAACCTGCACAACTTCCTGGATAAGGGAGCTCTGCAAGGTAAAGCACACAAACACTACTTCCTCAGGAAGTAATTTCATTCACAGCATTTTGGTTTCGTTTTTAAAATTTTGCTTGTAAAGAGCCAGATGGGCAGGATTTGCGTCGAAGAACATTACACCGAGCACTAGAATGTTTTAGGCAGTCAAGGGAATGCATTAGAAAGTCAAAGCTGGTACTCGACTGTGGTTGATTACTTGATTCAAATGCATCTGATGCCGTGCAAATACACAGTAGAGCATACATAAAACAAATAGACACTTTATAGGACAAAAGGTGGAAATCATCTGCAGCTGTCTCACATAACGCACTTCATATATTTCCTTCCTTACGACTCTCTCCTCTCGTTTTCCCTCCCAGGTTACGACATGTCAACCTTCATCAGACGATACAGCCGTTACCTGAACGAGAAGGCCATGTCCTACAGACTGGTGGCTGTGGATTTCACCAAGATGAAGAGGGGGTGAGGGAGGCCACACACATAAAATGACAATCCCACTCATCATGTAACACTCACCTTGTCACACACCAGGAGACGATGTTTTAGCTTTTGGCACTAAACAGAGAGAACAATAGACAAAAAGCCTATATTGATGGAGGTGTACAGTATCTATTACAGTAGGCTATTGCTTCAACATGTTCATTGTATTTAATTTCAGAAGAGTCCTGTTTAGCTGGGCGCCAGCTCACTTATTGAAGAAAATAAAGCTGTCCCAGTGTGAAAATATTAAAAAGAGAAACAAATATTAGGCTGCAGCTACCTGCCAGTTAGCTTAGTTTAGCTTAGCCTAAAGGCTGAAAGCAGGCAAAGAGGTCGAACTGCGGACCAATAGTTAACCTGCTATGAGGCACATCTCTTATTTTAGCGGTATTTTTAAAGATATATATTGATTTCATTTGACCAGACTTTTCTCTGCTCTGCTTTATATCTCTGTTTTTGAAGATATAACTCGATAACAGTGAGCTTTCGAGTTACTGGTTGCCAGATTTTGTTATCTTTGGACAGAGCCAACTGTTTCCCACCGCATCCAGTCTTTATGCTAAATTAAACTGAATTATGCCTTTATTGTCTCTACTTTCATACACCACATAATGACAATGCAGCCCTGCTGGAGACTTCTGTGTGAAAGTGACAGTTGGGGCATCATTTTTGGACGTTGTTGTCCAACTGTTGTGTAACGATGTTTAATCCTTTGTTATGCTGTTCCCACTGGGCATTATTTGTCGCCATTTGTTGTGCCACTCGCCATTACTGAGAAAACATTCATATGCAAAACACGTGTTACCTTTTTTTGTTTTATTTCCCATCATTTGTCATCATTCCTTTCGTTTCCTTTTTTGTATTTTACCTGATTTGCATCGACATTTGCATAAGAATTTCCCCCAACAATGCGCCCTCTACAATTATGTGCGTGTGTTTGTGAATGTTCTATCAGGATTGACGGCGTGATGCGTACCATGACAACAGAGAAGCTGATTAAGACGCTGCCCATCATTCAGAACCAGCTGGATGCTCTCTTGGATTTCCAGGTACTAAGTGTGTGTGTGTGTGTGTGTGTGTGTGTGTGTGTGTGTTTTGCACACGTGTGTGTCTTCAGGCATGTGTGTCAAAGTTGTGGTCGATTCACTTTCCAATCAAAATGTAAATCGAAACAACAGTTTGCAAAGTTTGACACTCTCTTTAATGATGGGTATAAGAAGCATATTATGGCAACATGGTGTGTGTGTGTGTGTGTGTGTGTGTGTGTGTGTGTGTGTGTGTGGGTGTGTGTGTGTGTGTTCAGAGGGGAGACGGGGATTGGGTGGGGATTTGCAGAAATTGGTGGGTGCATTGTGGTGTTAGCTTCAAAGAGCGATAAAAATGGATGGTGAAGTTTCTCATTGGCATGCATATTAGTGTGTTAGTGTGTGTGTGTGTGTTAATTGTGTGTGTGTGTGTGTGTGTGTGTGTTAATGTGTGTTAGTGTGTGTCTGTGCAAATTGACAGTTGCTCTGTGTGTGAAGAGGTGCTGGTATTTGGAAAAAGATGTTTGCGAATATCTGAAAGAGATGTCTTTTTTTTTTTTATGAAAAGCTTTGGAAAGAGTTGTCTCCTTTACACTTCTCTCTCTTTCTTTCTTCCTCTTTCTTTCTACCTCTCTCTACCTCTCATCTCTCCAGGCCAACCCTAATGAGCTGACCAACGGAGTGATCAACTCAGCCTTCATGCTGCTCTTCAAAGACTCCATAAGGCTGTTTGCTGCTTACAATGAAGGGGTCATCAACCTATTGGGTAACACACACACACTCACACACTCTCACACTCTCTCTCTCTCACACACACACACACACAAACACTCTTACAATATACACAGTCTACAGTGAGCTGGCTGACGCTCGCTCTCTTAGATGTGTGAAAATGATGAGGTGTAAGTAATAGCTGCAGTTTGCTTTGTGTGTTTATACACATGCTCACGTCTGGTAGATATGTAAAGACACACATATGTGCACACAATCTGGTTGTCACGGCAGCAGAGAAGGTTTTGACAAGCTGTCATGGAGCTGCTAAGTGCTTCTGTTTGTCTCCACTCAATCATGCATTGATTGTTCCTGCCTCCTTTCTCCCTCCCTCCCTCCCTCCCCCTCTTTTAATGCTTCCTTCCTCTCCTTTTTCCTTTTTAAACATTTTTGTTTGTTTTACTGTTTTCATCCTCATCCTCCCTTCTGTCTCTGTAGAGAAATACTTTGACATGAAGAAGAACCAGTGCAAAGATGCTCTGGACATCTACAAGAAATTTCTTTACAGGATGACGAAGCTGTCAGAGTTCCTCAAAGTGGCCGAGGTATATTCACACACACACAAACACACACAAATGTGCACACACACATCAGGGATAATATTTTTCCAGGGTCTTTTTTTTGTAAGTTTTTACCCCCAGATATTTTTTTATTGGAAGAGCTACTCCCGTTCCAATTACCTTTTTACCCTTTTCTCCATACTTTCTTGTCCGTTTCTTGTCCTGACCACATCCCCTGAACACTTAAACACACATACATCTACACACACTTAACACACACATTCTCAAACACCACTTGGACGGATGTATTTTCCGCATAAAGACTCCATACTGCCACGATTTAGCTCACAGTGCTACTGTAGTGTGCGCAGACGAGAGTACCTGACATACCCTCACTGCCCCACATTTGCTTTGCAGACACTTTGCACACATCCATACATATACACCCAAAATAACCCTAAGATGGAGGATGTGGTTAGGCGCTCCGTTAGGTCCCTCTCCCTCTGCTCCCCACACTCCTCCATCTAATCCTTTCTTCTCCCGCTCTCTTCCCTCTCGTCCTGACAAAGATGGATACCCCTGTGGCTCTCCTTCGCCCAGTGCCCACAGATCATCCCTCTTTTTGTCTTTCCTCTCGTGCCCTCTTCCTTTCTCTCCCTCCTTTGTTTCAGCAGGCTGGAAACAGTGAGAATCAGCTGCTTTAACTTCAGCAGTGGAACTACATTGGTGGTTCATGTCCTCTGCATTAATGTACATTCAAAAAAAATGCTCCCTTTGTCTTTTATAATTAGGTTTTAAGGAGCTCCTTGGACAATTAAGTGTGTATTGTTTTGTTTTACAGACAATTTAAAACAGTAGTTGATTAGAAATTAGAAATGAATAAACTAATAATGACTTTCTCTGTTTTTTTAAACATGTCAAGGCTTTTTTAAAGTCTGAAATAAAACCTATTCCATTAATCTAGATGATTACCTGGGCGAAAATCAACCATAACAGCACTCAAAGCATGTGTTGTTGGCACATCACTGTAATAAGACACATATAGTATATATTATGTCCATATATTGAAGACTTTCTGTAGATTTTGTGCATCATTGTGGCCTTTTTAACCTTTAACCACCTACTGTTCTGCCCACAAGCTGAAGTTACATGAACATGAAATATAGGCTTCGATAGATTAAACTTATGACTTTGCGGTCATTGTGGTAATTTTCAGAAACAAAATAGTGTTGTAAAAATATTCTAGGTGCAATGCACGGTGGAGTGTGTAATGGGGCCTTTATTAACAATCAATGCGCTCTGGCAGGCCAACCATTTGATGAATCCTTGAAAAGATAATGTACAAATTCATTGCAAGGCTCTGATGATCAAATATAGTCCATTTGTCATCATTTGTGAATGGATCGCCCCCAAAATGGAGTTTTTCTAAACCGCCCTTTGCTTATGAAGAGAACATATTTCATTCTCCAGTGGTACAAAACAGATCATGGCGCCTCCTCATGAGTCAGAAATAAAATTGATTAAATGGTTAAAGAAAGTGTCACGTTAGCATCAAAATGCACCAATAGATTGTTTTTTACACATCCCAATGAAAAGCAAACAATCAGTTTAACAAAAAAAGACATCAGAATTGACATCTTAAGGTTCTGATCTTAATTAGATATTGGTGATACAAGTTTCTCTATATGTGAAAGAAAACGTCTCTATATTGAGGCAGTAGTCCTTTTTAACATTTAACTGTGACATTTAGATTTTGTTGTAGCAGGAAAAGTGCAGGTGTTGCTAATAACATTAACAACGACTGTTACATTCAAGTGTCCAAGTAAGCTGTGACAGTGAGTCAGTGACCTACCAGGAACTACACCAGGACCGATTATTATTTACACATGTGCTTTTCCTGCTGTGGCTCGTCAAAATGTCCTCATAGAAAAAGGCTTGTTGAATTTGAATTTGGCCTGCTTTAACATTGGCCAGTAAGGCTTTTACATTTTCTCCCCAGCCCCTTAATTACATTTTCCTTCAATGGCCGACATTTATTGTTTGCAGTCAGAAACTTTAACCTGGATTCAAAGGCACAAAACTTTAAAGCAGGAGCAACATCAACCATTATTAATTAAAGTTTTCCGCTGATAAATCTGCTCATAAAGGTGTTTAGAAAGAAAACCAAGGTCATGTTGATGATTATTTAAAAACGTCCAGGACTTAATGTTCTTTATCTGTGTCCTGAGAAGTCAACATGTTCACGCAAATGTTGTCTGTCTGAGTTGTAAAATCTTTCTGGAGATGGTTTTGGCGTAGCTGTCCTTTATTTATAAATGTTGTCACGTCATTACGCATCAGTCGCCACGCTCAACTCTCCCTCATCGGTCAGACATATTTATCACTGTCCAATCATCATCGTCATTCACTGTGAGGATTGGTTGGCTCATCAGCCAATCCACATGTCGAAAAAACTTTTTCTTGTTTATTTCTGTTGTCGTTTATGTTGACACTGCCACTGCATGAAGTAATGATTCCCCTGTTTTTTTTTCTCATATTTTCTTTTTTACAAATGGATCCTGCCCTTCTCTTTATTTTTTTTCTTCTCCATTTTATCCCACCTACCTTTCTCCCTTTTTTTTATTTTGTTGATTTTGTTTTTGACGACAGCAAGTTGGAATAGATCAGGGTGACATCCCAGATCTCTCACAGGTCAGTGTACATCTCACCTTCCACTTCCGCTTCTCTCTTTTTATGATCCTCACTCCTTCTCTGGCTTTCCCTCCTACCTTCTCACCTTTTTTCTGGCTTTCCTCCACCACTTCATGTGGTTTCATTGCTCCCTCTGTGCTTTCACCCATCCACTCGCACCTTATTTCACCCCTACATATACATGTTTCCCCCCTCCTTACCAATTGTTCACTCATTCTCTCTCCTTCACTCTTCGCTCACTCATTTTTATTTCAAACCACCATCTCGTCTAACCTGATCTGAATCTAGGCAACTCCCCTCTGGTTTGATTGATTTCCTGATTTCTCCTTTCACTTCTAAATGCTCATTATAGATCCAACCACAGGCTGAGGTGTGTTAAGTTGGCCTGCTTAAACACTGCGCCATCAGCAGGGCCCACTGCAGGTTTTAGCACGTGGATTTGACAGCCTGAGCAACTGCGAACAATGAGCTCAGACCTTCCTCTACAAAAATAGTGATAATTGCAACAACAAAGGGCTTTAAAAAAGACAGCATCACTACAGGGGAATAGATTACATGATTTGTGTTTTTAATTGCCAAGGATGAAGTTGCCTTTTTATCTAATTGTGAAATCAGAGGAATCACTTCATGCATGGCTTTCATCCTCCTAATGAGTTAAGGGAGGACTGGTTAGGTTGGTTCACATAAAGTTACACATCATGCTAAAGAACTGAAAGATTTTATGTTTAAATTTCATTTAAAATTCAGCTTAATTAGCTGTATGAACTGTAATTTGTAGATCTGAAGTTTTCAGTGCAATCATAGCTTTAACATACAACCCATGTCCTGTGATATAATCTATAATAATTATGTGTGACTGTGGCTTAGTGTGGAAATGATTGATGGATTAATGGATTGTTAAATAGACAGAAAATGTATCAACAACAAGGCTGCAACTAACAATTATTTTCATCTGTTGATTATCGTCTCGTATCGTAGATATTCAGTCTACAGTGATATATGACAGAAAATATGCAAATCCTTACAACTGAGAAGCTGTAACCACAGAATATTTGGCATTTTTGCTTGTGAAATAACAATTAATCAGTAAAAGAAAAAAAGTTGCTGATTAATTATCTGTCAAACAACTAATCGATTGACTATTAATTTCAGCTCTAATCAACAATTCTGACAAACAGTTGATCATTGAAGAGATTCATTAAGCACAAGTGGAAAACATTTGCTGGTTAAAGGAAATCAAAAGTGAAAGTGAAAAAAAAAAGTTTACAGTAGATTTTTGACCAGGCACTCAACTTAAATAGGGTGTTGTGGGTAACCGTAAGTCACAGTCATGCAAGTTGATTGGTTGAATCAACTCCTGTCGGGAGGCAGCTTCAAATTGAAGATGGGGGGGGGGTTGAAACAGTAAACACTACAGAAGCTGCACATACAAGTGAAAAAAGAATCGGCCACGCCAACGTCTTAGAGCAACCAAGTTCATATTCACCTACATCCAACCAAGAGTTCACAAAGTTTACTGTCTGCCGAAAAGAGAGCAAATCTCAGTTCAGAGTGTCAACAGATACTCTTAGTTTGGATATCAGAATCATGGATCCCTACCAATAACGGACTCATTTATCAATAATGAAAACAATCACCAGTTGCAGCCCTGATTTAGATTTACAGTTTACTAAACTAAAGCTACTTTGGCACTTCCTAATATTGGAGAGTTGCCACTTTGCTGTTTCTCTGCCTCAAGAAATCTTTACAAAAATCCCCCACACATGGAAAACAACTGTAACGTTTTACAGCCTCAGTGGAGTATGTGGACTTGCATTACCAAAAAAAAATCATTACGGAGTGTAAAACTGCAAGTTAACAGCATGTGGATTGACTGTGTGGGTGTTGAACTCATAGTAAAACTGCACAGGTCGTTAAATAGACGTTTCTCTTCTCCCTCGTCTGTCGCAGAAAACAAAAGGATCATACATTGTAGGTGGTGGGTTGCATACTGTACTGCTTACCCCCTCCAACCTGCTTAACGTCCCCGCATGACCATCATGTATGCTGTATGTGTGTATGTGTGTGTGTGTGCAACCATACACACTTACACCTCATACACTCACAGGCATGCTCTTGTTTCTTCTTCCCAGTGTGGAGCAATACGGTGTTGACAGTATGTGTGTGTGTTGGCCTCAGGTGGATTGCTTGTAGCTCTCTCACACACACACACACACACACACACAGAGCTCTGGCACGACAAGCAAAAGGCCATGAAACCTCATGAATAGAAAATGAGGCTTCACCCCTCCGTCTTCATCTGCATGAAAGAATCCCTGCACCGGGTTTTCGACTTGCTCATTTAAATTCCACCCTCCTCCTCCTCCTCCTCCTTAGATGTTGTTTATTTCATATTTGTCATGCACAACATCATTGCTTCAACATGCATGACGGAGGTGCTTTAATAGTGAATAACCCGAGCATTACCGTGTAATCGCTGTAGAAAAAGGAAACATGAGAGAGGAGAAAAGGGAGGATTCTCTCTTTTCTTATTTTTGTCGGTGATGACTTTTTTTTTTCTCCCCCGTCTCCCTGCCTTCCAAAGTTAGTGCTATCACTAAACGTCCTTAGATGAAAGCAAGGTACACTCACAAAATGTCAAAAGGAAAACGGTCAGGAGATGAGGAGACACCCTGCTGAGTGTGTGTGTTTGTGTGTGTCAGAGCTAATATTGACTGGGCATACACACAGTCTTCTTTTCACCCATTCAGACCCGCTGACAGTTAAAAATGGGCTCTTTCTCTCCTGCATGATGCTGTTTCTTTAACAACCAGGCAACAGTTTGGCAAGAACCCGCTGTCTAGCCAGCCGCAAAGGGCTCAGAAGCCAAAAACACTCCCAAATGTGTGTGCGTCAGTGTGTTTGCGTGCATGTCTGCAGCCCTACTGACAGCACACTTTGCATTCTTGTGGATGGAGAGACAGACATGACGTTGTCATATTTTCTCAGTGGAAGAATTTCCTCTCCTCTTTCTTCAGCCAAAGGAGAACTGAACTCTTTTCTTTTTCTGCGTGCTAAGTTGTAAGAAAACCACAGATTATACACTCAATAATGCAGTTGTCTCACTCGCTTTTGCCTCCTTGTTTCCCGTGGTTTTTGAGCATTAATGAGGCACCTAATGAGCAATGAAGACATTATGTTGTGCAATGTGAACAATTGGAACTGAACTTGAATTCGCAGCTGAATTGTGTTTTCTGTAGTAGCGTAGCAACAATCCCCAAGTAACCTGCTCACTAACTTGTCCTCCAGAACAGTTGAGCTCAAATTTAATGCAGCTGCCTTATGTCAGCCTACAACAAACAGCATTTACAGACTCTTGCCCCCATTTTTGTTTTTGGGTTGCCAAAATGTAAAAAGACTAGAGTTTAATCCCCATCCCCACGTGGAATGCATATGCAGAGATTTGGTTAAACTATAGAGACAGAGACATACTGACAAGTCAGAGGCACAGAGTGCATCCTGGCACTCATTGTGCGAGTATGACAGGACCTCACAGTGCGAGGGACACTGCGAGATAAGCAAGACAAAGAGGCAATTCACAGCAAGGGAAGTTGAATGGAAAAAATGAAAGAAACGGCACAGAAATTATCGCCCTCAGCTTCATGTGAAGTCAGGAGTAGAAGTGGCGCGACCTCTCCTTCTTTCTCCACCTTTTTCCTCGCTCTTTGTTTTTCAGCCTCCTCCTTTGTTCTCTCTCTCTCTCTCCTTTGAGTCTCCTGCTAACAGTGTGAGTGTTTGCTGCATGTTGCCATGGCTATTCTTGGAGCCTGATGCACTGTGTTACCTTCCTGTGAGACCAACTAACTCTGGGTGCTGTGTGTGTGTGTGTGTGTGTGTGTGGGTGTGGGTGTGGTGTGGTGTGTGGCGTCTCTTGTGCACATTGTGCACAAGAATTTTCAAAAACTTGAGTTGATTAGTGAATTTCTTTCTCTTACCCTTTTCTTATACTTACTTCTCCCTCAGGCCCCCAGCAGCCTCCTGGAGGCACTGGAGCAGCACCTGGCTTCTCTAGAGGGCAAGAAGACCAAGGAACTGAATGCAGACACCAGGTAGACATCTTAATTTCCTGCGTCAGGTTACAGTGGGATTTCTTGAAACATATCACACCAGTCAACACTTAATAAAAAACAAACAAAATATTTTAAATTCTCTTTCTGTTTCAGAGCATCCACCCTGTCCAGCGCCGTCTCATCTCTCTCCTCCACCGGCATGTCCTTCAGCCGCATGGACGAGAAGGAGAAGCAGCAGGCCTTGGAGGAGGAACAGGCCAGACTGCAGGCTCTTAAGGTAACGGATTTTATACTTACTTTACGGCAAATCACCTCTGAATCGGGGTCAGGCTCAGTGCTGTAGCAGCAGAAATGCCAGCAGCAGGTCTAATAGTTATTGCTGTCACCCTGTTCTCCTCTCTTACTCCCATTCTCTCTGCTCTCAGCTGCTACAGAAGTCCTAAATGTAACAGGATTCATGAGGGATGCACTTTTGATTTAGGTCCCATTTATAGCTGGTATTAACATGTTGTCTTTACCTGGATACATTACATTACTTATTTTTATCCTTCCCCACCATTTTTCTTAATTATTATTATAATAATTATTATTATTTGCTCATTTCCTGCATCAAACTACTCCCAAAGGGTTTAAGGTCGTGTGGTTATTGCTGCTTGTTACCTGTTCTTCTTCACTGACACAAAAGCTGCTGACCTAATCCGTCTTTTAAATTTCCTCCATTTCTTCAACTTGCAGATTCCCCTTTAATTTTAACACCGTGTAACCAAACAATATATTCTCATGCTGAACTACTCCTGCTGACACAGCTAAAAGCTTTAGTTTATGGGCAATTATAAATTGGGAACTTGTAATGGCTTTTTCTGGGAGTTGTGTGGTACCAAATGTAACCCTTGTGTGCACGCTAGTCATATGCTCCTCACGGTTTATACCAAACTATGCTTTTCACATTCAATTCATTTAATTCAAGTGCAGATGCAGTGGTTACTCAAATGTTATCATGTACAGCTTATGTCAAACAAAGCAGCAGCAGCGGCTGCCAGCACTCGCACACATTTTCTCCAGGAAATGCAATTCAAGGCTGGGTAATGATATCTAATCACCGCCACTTACATCTGGTATTAATAAGTGTTCAAGTTATCTCCATTCTGCCTGCATTGTGATCAAAATTCTGTTAGCTACTGCTACTGCTTGTTGTTTTTTAGCTTAAAGCTTACAGGAAGAGCAGGAGCTAGGTGACTTTTCAGCTTGCTAGGCGAGAAGAATGTGGCCACGCTGTACTGATTACATTTACACCTGGATGACATCCGATCACAATGCAAGCCAGACCTCTTCCAGATGTGGTCTGGACCGATTTACACATTGCATTAAAAGAGCACTCCACCTATTTGGCACCGTACTTTTATAATATTGTCAGACTCAGGCTGGACAGAGATTCAGCAGTGTTATGCTGGTAGCAGCTAATGATGCCTCGTGTTAGCTCACTTCTTTCCACACCCCAGCTTTTGTACTCTTCATCCCCAACCAACATTGACTCCAGTGATATCTCATTAGGAAATGTATCAGACTTCATGCAGCTCCCTCGGAGACACAAAAGGCTTTATACAACTTTTTTTAAATGCGTAAAATCACTGCACTTAACATGTGTTTCTTCCTCATACAGATTAGGATATCCACATACTGATCACATGCTAATGCCACATGTAAATTAGGTCTTTAACACCACATCCACAACGATAAAAGAAAATGTCCTTCCACTGCCACATTGTTTATCCATGTCTAGCTTTTTATCTTTGTGCAACTGCATGTCTGTGCAAATATTCTTGTGCTATGCTTTTTTTGTTTGCACTGTGTGTAGGCACACAGAGAGCTACTGAGAACCAAAGTCAAATCTCTTGTTTGTGTCAGGACAAAAAGCCTGTAAAAGGGGACTCAAATAATTCATGATCGTCTATAAATCATCTTGTAGTTGTTTTTATATTAGCCCATAACACTTTTTTTGGGTGGGGGTGGGGGGTTGTCATTGTACTGTAACTTCACATTATTTAGTCATATCATTGGGAACTTAAGGGAACCAAGTGTTACTACAATCACCTTATCTACCAAACTAAATGTTACGGGAGGGTGTAATATAGAAATGGGGCAAGAAAAGTCACTTTATATTTTTCTATATAGAGATTTGATCATCTGAACTCAAGAATCTGATCACAAAAATCAGCTCAAAATGACATGTTTAACTGCAGTCATTGCCCTGGATTTAAGATTTCTGCCGCAACTACAAAACACTGAGCTGTGACAAATGGCACAAATTGTTAACTCAAATTATATATATATATATATATATATATATGTATACATGTACAGTGCTCCACTTTGCTGTGCTGTAGAAACCCGATTTTGTTGTTGCTAAAGACTGCTGATAGATTGCCAGGCAACTTTGCTGTTCGGTGAATTCTGAACTGCAGCTGAGGATAAAGGCCAAGAGTCTCAGTGGCGAGCCGAGCAATAGAAAAGTCAAGTGTAAAATGTGTTGACATTTCTTGCTCCAGCCCTGGGAGTCCTGCCTTACAGCAAACTGTAATTGAGTAAGAGCAGTGAAGCTACAAAATAGGCACACAGCGGCTCAGTGTGTGCGCGTGCGCGTTCGTGCATGTTAAGCATGCTTACATCCTGGCAGGGAAGATACAGTATGTGTCTAGTACTGTTGCCAGTATCTGTGTAAGATTTTTTGATCTGTGTGTATATGAAGAATGTGCATATCCTGGCAGATTAGGCTCTCTATGTGCTGCCAGTGTGTCTTTGTGTCTTTGTTTGTGTGCGTGGTTGATTGGATTTTAGGGAGCTGTTTACTTTGTGCCCTTGGTTGCCCTGTTTCTGCCAAGGTCCACTGATTACCTTTGGGTTTAGTTAGAAGGGAGAGGAAAGATAAAGTCAGTGGGAACATAACAGAGTAAGAAACAGAGCGAGAGAGCTGGGGTGAGCAGGGGTCGTCCAAATACTCTAGTCCAGCTGTCTGCGCGCTCTGGTGTCCATATGGACTCGACACACACATACACACTCATACACAAACACTTTCACTCTCAGCTACTGTCCAGCTGGGGCCTTAGCCCAAACAATAACAGCAGTTCCCATTTGTTCCTCGCTACACTGTCAGAATATGAATGAAGAGGACTCGGCCCGGGCCGGGGCTGGTACAGTAGGAGATGCTGTTTATTAATCTGCTCAAAGTCCAAATTCCTTTAAAGGTGGAAGAGGTTGTGTAAGGGAATGGCTGTGTGTAAATAAAATAGACAAAGGCACTGTGAGAGGCAGCATTTCCACTCCCACTGTGGCAATCCATGCTAAGAATCTACCCTTTGTTGTACTGTAAATTGCTTTCCTTGTCTACCAAACAGTACATATTCTGATAAAAAAAATAATAAAACGAAACAAAGATGTTATTTTCCAGGACATGTTCCCACATGATAAGACACAAATGTATTGATCCTTGTTGAGATATTAGGTCATTGCAGCAGCAGCAAAAGTAATAAGATCCAGCGGGAAATATAGGCGGATGGAATATAAGCACAAAAAAAGGCAATAAACAGCCAGAATGATGAAATCAATCAATAAAACAATACAACTTACTGCAGTCATTTACAGGATTATACAAAACAGTGCAGGCAGATTGAATATGTTCAATATAATATAAACTGCACCAAGAAACACTATTTACTCGACATAGACATATACTTGATTGAATGCATTCTGTTTCTATTTGCACCCACTGTCATTTCACATAATGTTAAAATGTGTTGTCATATAGCATCATCTTAAGCCACAGAGTGACAGCAAGTTGTTCACAGCCCCGCTGTTACCAGCACGCATCAAACTGACCCTGAAGCAAAACAGTTCAAATTCATGCAAGAAATGAAAGTCTGGAGGTGTCTGGAGATTTTTAAACCTGCAAATGTGTTGGATCACCTTCAAAGTACTGGAGAGTTGATCTTGGATCAGTAGCTAAAATATCTTCTGGTAGTTTCACTGTGTTATCCAGGTGGATTTCTTACCTGAGTGCAGTCTGAGACATGCACATGTTTGGTTAACTGGTAGTCGTGCATGTATCAACAGTATTTTGCCTCTGCTTGTGCTAACTGAAAGTGACTTGCAGGCACAGTTACACAAGGCTTGTTATTTCTTGACTCAATCGCAATGAATCAACTAAAAACAATGCAAAAATCAAAAACCGAGTGTTGGTTTGTTCTTGAATTTATTTCAGTTTAAGCGGTGGCTGAACTTTGCTGATGTTTGTGTTTCTGTCATGAGAGAGAACAATAGTCTGCATTTCAGCTGCACCTGGTGTCTGAGCAGGTCAGATATTGTTTGAGATATGAGAGGTTTTCAGCTCTCACACATGCTGGAGAGCTGGAAACCAATATAATACGTTTTAAAGGACTTTAAATTAATCGTCTGTCATTAAATTGTGTATGCTGAATTCCACACCACCAGGCAACCTTGGCAGGCATAAACCAAGCAATAAACTGACTTTGGAAATTCTCTTGGATGCAGTCCTGGTTTTTAGTCTTAAAAAATAAACCCAAGAACTATTTGAATATCACCAAAGCACAAGTGTTTAAACTTCTACCTTTTATGTTTTTACTCATAATGTCTCTACGTTGGGAATGATTGTGAAGAGATGCTTGAAAAGGATTTCCAAACATCATGACTCAAAAGCACAGAGAGGCTCAAAACACAAGAAGTTACTGGAATGAATTTTGGGTGTTGTTTCCTCAGTGAGAGAATAGTCTGTATGTATGTGCGAGAGAATGTGTTTGTCGTTGTCCTGGATTTGAGTTTACTGGAAACAAAACTCTTATTCATTTCCAATGGGAAATGACTGTTTAACCATCGTCTTCCTAAACACATTGTGGTGTTTTTCTTTCTGTTTTGTGTGTCTGTGTGTCTTCCAGGACCAGCGCCTGAAGGAAATCAGCATGCAGACTCCACCCTCTGCCTCCCCCAGCAGCCAGTCGATAGGCAGCGCCAACAACAACCACATCACACAGACCCCAGAGTTGTTCACTTCCACGCTGTCTGCCAACAGGTGCGTGCACACAAACACGCCAATTAGCCCATGTTCACCATTTTAAACCGATATCTTCAAGTCCTCTACATTTTTGAGATATTGAACAAATACCACAGATTCTGGGAACAGCAAGCTACTTTTGTCAGAAATAAAACAGTGGTGTATCTGTTTACAGTGCAGCCAAACAAATAAAGTCAGCCAGTAGTTGGCCTTTTTTCATCATGTCATACAAAACCCACATCAGATCTCAGTAGATCTGAGTAGTTCTTCCACATAACGGCACCAAACAGTGAAAGCAGTTAGTTGCTGAGGATCTGGAGGTGAGCAGCTCACTCTGTCTGCTTTTTCTTGTTCCATTATTGCCTGCAATATTTTAAACTGATCCAGGTATAGGTATAGATGCATTTTTGATGATTTGCAGTGACAAATATATTGCATTTCCTGTGTCTGTTTTACAATAAAATCGTGTGTAATGCTTTTAATGTGAACTAGCAGCAGTAGAAAAGCTCAGTTGGCATTAGGAGTTACTTAACTTACTATTACAGCTCTGATGCTGTGTTAGGAGAGTGAACTCTGAAACAGGCTCATATAAATGACAGAAGATAATACTTGATTGCATACGTACTTTGTTTCCAGTCAAAGTCTCCTCATGCATTTGAAGGCAATCCGAAGCCAGTGTGGGAATGGCGTACCCCGCCACAAAAGTTATTTATTGAATGTAAATTCACTGAATGGCTATTGCAGAAAACATCATAAATGATATCAAATATGGGATTGGATTTCTTTAAAAATGAAAACTGAAAAGCTAATTAAGCTTTAAGTCAAGCAAGAATGGTTAAAACATCCAAAACAATACAAACTCACAAATAAAACAGACTATTCAACACCCTAACGCCTTTTAAATTTACTGTATGTGAAGTCAGAATTCACTTAAAACTCTGTAGGCTGTTTGCTTCGATGCCTCCCCACCAAAATAAACGCTTGTATCACCCACTCGACTGATTCCAGCTGTAATAGAGTTACTAAGTAAGACCATTTATTCTTGATAATCAGTATAGAATTTATACTCGACATGCACACACTGTTACATGCTGTGAATTTACCGCTCCTAACTGTTTTATTGCTGTGTGGAAGTTTTTACAGCCCTTCTGAGAGTGAGGATTAATCTTTATCTGTGACAAACGAACATTTTTAGTGGTGACTTTAGCTATTTATGCACGATTTGATTAAATATTAATACTCTTATCTCCAACTGTCTCTCCATTCTTCTTTTTGTTCCTCCTCATCTCGCTGACTTTTTCTCTTGTTCTCCTCTTCTTCCCTACCTCCTACTCTCTCTCCGTCTCACTTTCTCTTTAATCTCGTTCACTTATCTCTCCTTCTCTATTCCTCCCTGTTTTTCTGTCTACTTCCTCTCTCATTAACCCTCTGTCTTACCCTCTTCACTCTTTCGTTCCTCAGTGTGCCAAATCTGAACAGTGACCTGTTTGATCTTCAGCCGGCCTTCATCCCCGCTGTGCAGAGCAATCCTTCAATCTCCACCGCCAACAGTGCCTGGGGAGGTACGCTACCGACACACCTGCATTTGCACGTATATGAAGGCAACAGCAGGGACGCAGACACACACAAATAAAAATGCACACAAACACATTTATGTCTGAGCAAAATGTCTTCCCTCTGGCCAGTCATCCATATGTCTGCCCATCCATCTGTCGAGCCATTCATTTGTCTTTTTATGTAAACCATCCATCCACCCACCACCATTCCCTCCTCTTCTTCAGAAACTAATGTTGCATGACCCAGCCGGTGTCTTGTGTGGAGATAAAGTTTAAACAAGTTTTGAGCGCAGGTGTTTTCATTGTAAATACTCACAGTATTTTGGAATAATAACTCCTGTAACCATGTGTTCAGTCTTAGCACCTCAATATTAAACCAGTCCAAGGAAATGTCAGCTGAGATTCAACCACCCTTGCCTCGTTTTCTTGTTTGTCAGTGTGGGAAATGTTGCTGCAGCAGAAATGCTGAGCAACAACACTGACTCACATTAGCTTTGCTGTACACTATACACCCCCTCTATTTCTGAAAAACACTGACATTTCTAGCTCAAAATCAGCTTGCTCAAATCAAAAAGTAGCATACAGATGCATCTGGAAGCACTGTCAGTGCAGAGTATTACAGGCTTTATGACAGAGGATTGAACTAAAGCCATTTATAAGAAGTTCAGAATCAGAGATACTTCTTAACTCAAATATCAGCCCCTTATATTATCAGTTGTTCTGACACAGGAGCAGAGATACCTATCCCCTGTACTTTTCTCAAAAATAACGCAAAAGATACTTCAATGAACGTCCTGTAAACGAAGGAAATACAGAAGTGTTCAGTAAGGCAGTAGAATGAAAGGAATAGTTTGACATTTTGGGATATATGCCTTATTGGCTTTCTGGCTGAGAGTAAAATGGGAAAATTGCTAAAGATTCATATCTATGTTGAACATGAAGTGACAGCCAGCACCCAGATAACCTAGGTTAGCACAAAGACTGGGAACAGTGGGGAAACAGCTAGCCTGGCTCTGTCCAAATTCACCTACCAGAAAGCTCACTTATTAACACGTTGTGTCTTTGTTTGTTTAATCGGCACAAAAGCCAAAGTGGAAAACGCAGTTTTACGCGGGGGGGTCAGGACTATTTCTTGGCTCTGAGCAGTTGGCAGACAAACCAGCAGAGATTCCAGGAAGTTACTGTACCATGCCAAGAAATAGTTTGGTACATAACCCATAAGTGGCAAGTTGTCCTTTTTTGTATGAACTAGACATACACAATATAACATGTTAATTAATAAGCTTTAGAGGTGCTGGTAGGTTGATTTTGTTATGTTTGTACAGAGCCAGGCTAGTTGTTTTCCTCTCTTTCCAGTCTTTGTGCTAAGATAACGCTGCTAGCTGTGGATTCATATTTAGCTGACAGATATGAGAGTAGTATTGATTTATACCAATATAACCTTTATTCTCTTAAAGGTTAGTTATAACAGTCACATCATGTTTATTTATAGACACCGGTGTACTGTTTGTCCTCTGTATATTGTCGGGTTTTCTTGTTTCGTGGACTCCACAAAGACAACCGCTCTCTGAGGCTTCAAGCCCAAATCCCCTACAGGGATATGGATGAAGACAAAAGGTGCATCAGTGGATTTCCTCGTGCACAAGCTTAGCTCTCCTCTGAAAGCCTTGACATTCCCGACATCCTGCGCAGAATCCCAAGTTACTAAGCAACAACAATGGCAGTACACTGGAGACCATAATGTCCATGTTCCTAATCTAATGGGATTAGTTTTGCAGGAGGTGGTGGAATCCTTACTGGAGCAAAGCTGTGATTTCCATTCAGGCTAAATCACAATCTGATGTATATATCTGCAGTTATTTTTAAAGCTGTGTCAGATAAAGCTAGTCCAACAGTCATCTCATGCAGTTAAAAAATCATTTTTTTTAATCGGTCATATTTAACTGCATCCCTCAGGAATGGAGAGCCAGCTTCTGCAGCAGACCACCCCAGCCATGACTGTAGATTTCGATGCTGTGTTTGGGAATAAGGCCACGCCCAGTAACAACGGCCCACAACCTGCAGCCGGTAAAGCCCACTCTGTCTGACTATCCAGAACGGAGCCAGACTGAAAACTAAAACCTTTTTTGGCTTTGCTGGCAGCACAAGCGTAGCATTTAACTAACCCTCTGACTAGTTCCAGCAACATGTGGTTGTTCCTGCCCCTGGGTGGGTGTCGCTTTTTTAGCATCGCCTGTTGTTTGACTTGGTACATATAGTCTCTAACACTTTTAATGACAGTAACTCTACAGCACGTTCACAACCCAGAGAAGGGGGAGATCAGTTAACTTTAAATTCAATTGGATCCGTCTTTTCATTATAAATTTAAAAAGCCCTTAAAACTTGCTTCCAAATCTTGCGTATTTCTCTATAATGGTACATAATCTGGACTAAAGAAGCAACAATTTGAAGTTAAAAATTAGGAAAAAAAATAGCTCAATCTGCTTCTTCAAGATTGTGCGAGTGTAATTTGATCAGATTTGATTGACAGCATACAGCGACAACTCCTCGATTATGATCAGATTTAGATTTAGATATCGGTAAATCCTGATTGGTGCACAGAAATTTGTGTCATCCTGTTTTTTTCCCCCATCAGAGATGCCTACTTTAAAAAGAAAACAGCACAACAACAGTGAGACAAGCAAAACTGTTCTCAAAAGTGTGACCTAATAGTTAATAGTAAGAAGCTGCTTGAGAAAATCGGTCTTCAGGGCCTTTATGGATTACTCGTCACTTATTTCAAGGTTTTTTCTTACTTGATTGAGCCAAAAGTTAACTGATCCCAGCCCTGATTTTCCTCAGTAATTTCCCTTTTCTTTCAGGGTTCCTACACAGGTCTGCAATTTCTACAAAAATGAGCAAATAAACAAATCTTTTCCAGATGATGAACCTAAAATGTTAAATGCTATTTTCCAAAAAGTTTTTGCATTTACATCATTTAATTGTCAACCAAAATCTTTGAATCAGGTGAAAAAAAAAAAAAAGCATTTAGAAGTCTTCAACAGAATTGATAATGTGTAGGAACCCTCCCTCCAACTACTTCAGCTTCTCTTGTTGTGGTTTCCCGCCTGTTATGGTAACAGCTTTAGACTGATGGCTCTTAAGTGTTGCAGGTCTGAGACTTTGGCTCTGAGCCCTCTTATTAGCTTACTTTCTTTTAACCTCTCAGCAACTGACACAATCAATCTCGGTGCTTCCCGACCCTTGCGGGTCCCAAAGCGCTCCTGCAAAGCATATAATTTTAAGGCACGGCGAGTTATCGACAGCTCCAAAGAAGGCACAGCAGATAAGAGCGACTCCTTGCAGAGGTCATCTAAAGACTATTTTCATCATAAAGGGAGAAAGAAGTTCAGAGAGAGGCGCAGATTTAAACTGCAAGAGCTTAGAGGAACTTACAGAATCAGACTTTACTTTTTTATGTGTTTTTAATTAATTTAGCGGATAAGTCGGGTTATATTAGATTTGTTTCTTGTTTCTTCTTGTCAATAAATGCTATGAAAAGACCAAAACCAACAATGAATTGATGCTACTCAAGTCGTGTCTCTGTAGCCAAAGCCTGATATAGCCTCTCTGTGTCATGGACCTCCACTGTTACAGAAAAACTATTAAAAGCACATCAGTGAGCCACACTGTTGCCTCTGGTGACACGTCCCTCCATCGTGATGAACGTGGGCACTGTAGTTTTTATTTTTAGATTTGATTCCACATTCACCGTCCGTGCTGCTGTAAATGCTACATGTGTATTAATCCGCAACTGCAAACCTGTCCAAACAGATACACTATTTACTTACGTTGGCTAAAAACTACTGTGTCCAGCTGTTTTACTTTTGTTTACCCTTTTTATCGATAAATATCTTCACTACAGCCTATTGGGCTTGGGGTTGAGTACAGGCTGCGATTGAGAGACAAACTACTGTATTTTGGTCTTTTCATGGAATTTTGTGGCAACAACTCAAGTTTCGAATATTGGATATAGTTAACCATCACAATCAGTTGAAATCTTTGTTTTCCCTAGTGTACAGAGTCACCGATTTTAACATTTTGTCTGTCTCTATCTAGCCAAGCATATTTTCACAGCGACACCGCCCATCAATCAACATTACTGGAAGTTTGCCAGGTTTAATCAGCCAGCTGTTTCTCACCAGCAGTCGTTGCACACGTCGTTCAAACTCATTTGTAAGACTTGATCGAAACAGTATTATCATACAGGGCTACATCACTAATCATGCATCTGTGAAAAGTCTATCTGAAAATCCTCCAAATTGATTCCGAAGGCATTTGTTTATTTTTTCTGGCTGAAAGCATGAATCACGTTATCGTCATTATTGGGAAGTATTAGTTGCGTTTGTACAGCTGCAGTAGCTGTTTATTTTGTCTTTTCAAATGTTTAAGGAGTCCAAAGTGCATTTTCTCTTTTTCTGGAGCCGCTGACTTGCTCTAATCTTGTCCAACCCCGTCGGATCACTTCTGCTCAGCTCAAAAGTAACAGTTGGAGGCTTGTGGCTCCAGTGTGCAGCCTGATTCTGGCTTTGGACGGACTAACTTCCTTCTATTAATAGTGCCTGTGTTGAAGCTGCCACTACAACTACCAATACACCATCTGGGCAACTGGCAGCATCTCACAAAACTCTGTGTGTGTGTGCGTGCGCGTGTGCGGCTACTCGACTGTATGTCTTTTTCCTTCTGTGTGTGCGCCCGTGCATTGTCTACGTATCCTTACGTGTCCCTTATATTTGTTAGTGTTTGTAACTGTGTGTGTCTACGTCTGTTCGCACGTCATCTGTCATTTTGCTCCATCCCATCTGTCTGCTTCTACTCGTCTGTTGTGTTTGTTGTTGTTCACACCGTTCCCACCCTGATTCCCCACCCCTCCTCTCCCTCCCCTCCCTCCTCGTCCTCCCTTACTCCATTTATTTCATCTCTCTCTCTGTGTTTGCCTCATCGTCTCCCCATCACACTTCACAAGGCAAGAATCACCCAGGCAACTCCTTTCCATCTGCTCGCCTCCTCCTCTTTCCTCTCCCTCCTTAAAATCCTTAAAAGTCCTTTCTCCTTCCTCTTTCTCCTCTGCAAAGTCTGTATTCTTTATCTGGATGTTTTTTGTCCACTTTTAACTGATATCTTACTGTATTTGTGCTTTGATGTACAGAGATTTGGAGGTGTAGTTGCTCCTTTTTATATCGAGATTTCTTTTTTTTTTTTTTTAAGCCAGAGCCCAATTTATGTTTGTATTGCTGAAGTTTACTGTTTTTTTTTTTTTTTTTGTGATTACTTTATAATATATTCTTAATTTCCCATTGTGTGTATCTGTTTTCTGTTTTCTTCTTTGACAGTCTTTGCAGATTGTAGATTTATTTATGCCTTTTTTTATGCCTTTTTGTTCATGTGCTTCTGTATTAGTTACCCTTTAGTATCTTAACCTTTGGAGGCAATTTTTATGTTGAACTTGATTTAACAACATTTCCTTTTTTCTCTTCTTTCTTTCATTAACACAACACAAAGCTGAACTGAATGGCATCACAAGGTTAAATACACACAGTGAGAGATTAAATGCACATCTTGATCTTATTAAGAGCAGTGTGAGAAGTCTATCACTCAATTATCATCTTGTTTGCATACAAAAATGGTGTTAAAAGGGTTATGTGAGAATTAAATAACACTCTAATCTTACCCTTTTCCTTATTATACTAATAACACTAACTAGCTCTACACTACGCTCTACAACAATGCTTTCTTTATTTCTCCCCTGGTGAGGATGATAACAATTTTGCTTGAGATCTGTTAGCTCTAGCTCGTGTTATCACAATAAGATATGTACGTAGCCATCATGTTCATATTTAAGGCCCTTTCTTACAAGATTGCCGTTTTAAAGTCAGTGAGAAAACAGCATATTCAACAAACTCATGAAGCTAATTTTAAAGTAGTAATTGTGCAACCTTTTTATCATTGTAAACTGCATATGCACTGTGTGAAAATAACCTTTTTACCATTTTATTTTGTAAGCAAACTATACGCTTTTCAACAAACTTAAATAGCTAGCTATCTACAGGTGAGAAAATCTGTTTTCAGCCAGGCAAATCAGTAGTTGACTCATAGAAATAAGGCTGCGTTCACATGGAATTAGGCAAATGAACAAATCAAGGACCCATTGTTTCAAAGATGATAGACATTAGAGTAGTAACACTGCTCCCTCTCGCGTGGCAGTTGCTAAAGATCATACAAGCATTGCTCTTCCTGTCAAACCTGAAAACCATAAAGGGACACTTATGTTTGAATGATGGAAATCCTTTACTTTAACCAGTAGATGAACCCAGCAATGTTGCGTACTCCATGTCTGGAAAAAGGCTTTGGATAATCCAACCTTTTTAAATTTCTGTCACATTTAGTAGTAAGTAGCAGATTTCTGCCTTCTGGGTGTTTTGGAATTGAACCCTTGACATGGATTTACTTCCTTTCTCTCCCTCTGATCTTAAACTCTATTGACTGTCAAATCCTCTGCTGAAACACCTAAGCTAACACCGATAGCATTATCCTCCCAGTTCAATACAACGCTCTCAGTGCTCGCTTCATCTCCTCCTCCTCCGCCTCCCAGTTCCCTCCTCCCCTGTTTTCTTCTTATTCTCTTTGCCCTGTGGTGTTTGTGATCTACTCAGAGAGCTTGTTTCTTTCTTTTGGTTTTTTTTTTCTCTCCCTTCCTCCCCCCTTTTTTTTATCTATTGCTCTCTTGATTCACTTTAATTCAGTGGGCTTCACTGACACGGTGGTTTAAGAAACAAAAAGTCACCCACATTGCCAAAGTGTTTTATCACAGTGACAACAATAATGGAAAGTGAGAGAAATTAGATTCTAGAGAATTAAAAAGATAGTGGACAAAACTAGGTTTCTTTCCTCGTCTCTGCCTTGCTCTCTTCTCCACTTTCTTCTTCCTTTTCTACTTCTTTTTCCCTTTTCTGTCTCTGTGTGCTTCTCCTCCTCTCCCTCTTTTTCTCTCATCTGCTAAGCTAGCAGGAAAAGTGTTTTCTGAATCTCTTGTGTCAGCACCACTGTCAGACCTACACACCGCTTCCTAACTAAATATTATTCCTCCCTCTTTTTTTTTCCCACCATCAGCTGCCTCTTTCTTTTTTCCTTTCTCCTCCTCCTCCTCTGTGTTTTGCAGGGACACTGTACGTGTACAGCGGTTGTGTTGCATTCACATCTCGCTCGTTCTTGTTTCGTTTCCAGCTTTGTATTGTTGCCTTGGTCCTGGCTCCGCTTTTATTTCTGCTGCATGTCTCTAGGTATTTGTTATTTAACCTCTAAGCATTACTGCATTAAGAGAGGGAGCAATAATGCAAGGAGCAGGGGTTGAACCACCATTCAGACGTAGAATTATGTAAAAAAAAAAAAAATCCTTTACTTTTACATTTTCACTTTTAATTTCCCTTTTTTGCTCATCTTTTGTAATTCCACCAAATCCACACACATATAAACGCTCGCACACACAGTCACACCTCCTGGTTTCTACCAGCAGAGTAATACGGAGCCATTAGCTGAATGAGTGCTGATGTGGGAAGTTGTTAACACGGGCACTTACACACACACACACACACACACACACACACACACACACACACACGCACACACGCACGCACACCAACACAGGATATTACTCAGTCATTTGCACCTACCGGCCATGGACAAACACAATCAGTTTTCACACACTCTCTGATTCACGAACTCACACACACACATACATGTTCAAAACTAATCACTGTTCAGAGTCAGAGTGTATACATGACAGCTATGAACAGATAAATCAGTCATCTGGAACAAGTGCTGCAAGCTACTGAGTCAGGGATTATAGGCTTGCTGTTGATAGAATGAGGCTGCTGTATGAATCTGGGTAGAGTATATCTGCTTTAAACTGGAATCTCTGTCCATGTAGGTAAATGCTAAAAATAGAGCAGGAGGAATTCAATTAACAGCGAGGCTAGCAGTGAGATTGAGGTTCACATTAAGGATGTACAGCTCAGCAATATTCTCAGATCAAAAACCGTCCAGAGCTGCTTCATTAAAGTGGTCAAATCGTGAGCGGACATTTTTGAAAAGTTTTGAAAATTAATTAGGCTGAAAGTTTGAGTCGGCGCTCATTAGATCTGGGAATAAGCGCCTTCGCCCAGATACTTTGAAATCCGTTGCTTCTGTTCTTTAACTTTCTTCACCTCAAGTTTTCCCTCATTGTTTTTTTTCCGATTTTTGCTTCTACAATTTGATTAGTGAACTGACGTCACACTAAGCCTCACCCCCCCTTAGTTAGACAACTGTCTGTTTTTGTTTTTGTACAGTGTGTATGCAATTTATGGCATTATGGTAATAACTTGCCAATTTGTTTAGGGAATGGAACTAATGTCAAAGCTCTGAGTCCAAACTTCCCCAAAATAAACGCAGGACCGATTCGTAACTGTTAGCTTAAAGTCTGATCGAGTAGCATCCATGACCCGGAAATACTGAAGATTGGAGATGCTCATTGTGAAGAAAATAATATATTAAGCCAATAAAATGCTCTTTGGAAGTATCACTACCTTTCATAAAAGCAGACACAAACACATTATGCAGTCGTTACACTTTTACTGTTGTGTTTTTGGAAAGGTCTCCAATCTATTTAAATGCTAAGTATTTTTCTTACTGCAGCCAAAACGCACTCTGCTTCAACGTGTGGAGAACTCAAAGCTTGACAGGCCTGCTGTGCCTAGTTATGGTTGCTAAGCTGTGATTGGGGCGATTGCGGTTGAAGGGAGGGTTTCAGCCAATAGTCAGCTCTGTTTATTTTCCAATAAATAACTTTTTTCTTCAGTATACCCCTCAGCGCATATTTAATCTATGTTTGTACTCCATTTTCTCTCTGTCTGTGTGTCTGTATGGTGTACTAACCCCTACGTGTTCATTTCTGTCTGTAAAATGTTATTACTATATTAAAAAATATATTGTGGTTTACTTTACAGCTTATTCACATGTATAAGTTAATCTCTCCTTCAGGTTTTGATGCTCTAGGCGACCTGTTGAAGCCTACAATGCCCACACACAATGCACCTCCTCCTCCTCCTCAAATGGCCATCCATCCCGGAGGAAAGCTGCTAGCCAACGACCTCGACTCCTCTCTGGCCAACCTCGTGGGCAGTGAGTGTCCAGAAACGCGTGCACCTATATAGCTGAGTGTGTCAGCAAAGGCAAAAAGAAAAACACTTACCAGTTGCAGTCTTTTACTGATTGAACATTTATGTTCGCATTAAATGGATGGCCTTGAATGTTCTTTTCACTCATATTGAAGGAGCATAAATATATATATTTTGTTATATAACGACACATACAATACTAAAAGACCTTTGGCTTACATCCTTTTTTTTGCTTTCAAGTGGCAAATTTACCCTTTTCAACTCTTCCTTCCCCCCCTTTAACCAACCATTCAGTCATATTATCTGCTTGGTTGGAATCTGTCCTCAGTAGCTTGTGAAGTTTTAAACTCCCCTTCATGAAATTTTGATTTAACGCCTCTGATTGTTACCGTCCAGTGAAAATATGATAGATGAAGAGAAAGTAAAAGAGAGTAAAACAGCGTCTAAGGCTGAAATACCTTCCAGTCTTTCAACTATGATCACTCAATTTCTCTGTGGTTGTATCCCTCTCCTCAGATCTGCAGTTCGGTGGGACCCCAGCCAAAAAGTAAGTTCTGAGTTGTGACGATACCTTTTCTAAGTTATACTTGTAGTTTAGGCTGTAGGATTTATCCAGTGACAAAACAAATACACCTCCCTGTTACACTTAACTCTACTGTTGCCTGTATTCCTAGCTGCCAACGTGTAACTTACTACTTAGAGTCAAAATCTAATTTATTATTAAGTGTAAAGTAAGATTCTGCAGTACTTGCAATATTGTTAGTCTTTAAAATTCATGATACGCCTCACAGGGAATATAGAGAAACAATAAAGTTAAACCAAAGTAAAATCTACAAGTAAAAAATAACAAATCTACTGCAGTTTCTTTCTTACAAGACATGGTTTTGGTGTTGTTTTGAGCAAGTGAAACTGCAAAAAACAACAACAAAGCCTGTTTTGTGAGCTTGTTTTGTTGCCCTGCTTGTCCCTCTCCAGGCCAGACATGCATTGGAGCCAGCCTGGAGAGAAGAAGCTGACGGGAGGCCAGAACTGGCAGAATAAGACCATGACGACCACACAGTGGAGCCCCGCGCCCATGGCCCCACAGCCCATGCCTGTACAACACGTGGTGAGGAGGCAGAAACACACGCATACAGAATGTGCCTGATGTGGTCTATTGATTTGTACAACTTCAGAATTTGCCCGTAAAAGGATCCATCAGGATATTTTATAGTTTATTACAACTTCTTGTTGTTTAAACCATTAAATCCTATCAGAAGTAATAACAATGAACAAACTGTGTTTATTGCTGAAATCTGGTAACAACGGCAACATTACTAATTAGAAATTTGGCAGGTTAAGAAACACGATCAGACGATCAGACAGGTTTTCAACAAACCGCCAGCACATTTATTTGGAGAAAACGAAGGCGACCTGTTAAATGAATGTTTGTTTGTTGCCAGTGTGACTTTATAGCAATGTTGCTGTTCCGAGATCTCGGAAATGATACAAATAAGAAGTTGTAATAGACTTGATCCCTGATGAGGATCCATCAAGGTGTCTGTAAGTCCTGGAAACATGTTAAATAGTGTTTCATTGGCTGGTCTCTTTAAAGTTCTTCAAAAGTTAAATGAATTGTTAATTTCTGCTTTAAAAAGTGTTTAATATGTCCTGCCGTCTAATTGTATTGTATTAAAGGAATAGTTTGACAAATTGGGAAATAAGCTTATTCACTTTCATGATGAGAGTAAGATGAGAAGATTAATAACACTCTCTGTCCATTGAATGTAGGGCTGCATCCGCTTAGCTTAGCTTAGCTGAGCATCAAGACCTGAAAGAGGGGGAAACGGCTAGCCTGGCTCTGTATAAAAGTAAAGCTCACTAATTAACATGTTATATCGATTTTACGTGGGGTTATATACCAGACCGTTACGTGACTGCAGACTGTTAGCTTAGCATAAAGACTGTGACTCTGTAACAAGTGCCGGAAGCACATTTCCCAAACTATTGTCAAACTGTTCCTTTAACAGTGAAAACTCAGTGGAGCTGCACAGAACATGTTGGTTTTGTTTCTGTAAAAACATTTATCTGAATGAAATTTACAGACACCTTGCTAAATAAATCTAAAACGTGTTGCAGTGCGCACACTGAACGCCGGTCGGTCTGCATGAGAATGTGTTGTGTCCTGTCTATAGATGGAAGTGTGTGTGTGTGTGTGTGTGTGTGTGTGTGTGTGTGTGTGTGTGTGTGTGTGTGTGTGTGTGTGTGTGTGTGTGTGTGTGTGTGTGTGTGTGTGTGTGTGTGTGTGTGTGTGTGTGTATTGACTTGGTGCAGTATATAGCTGCCTGTGCATGCTCTGTGTGTGTGTGTGCGCTCTGCTGATCTTGGCAGCTCCTGATTGTCCTCCTGATCTCCGGACAGCAATTTCTGGCTGACGAGGACAAACTGTCACTAACCCTCCGCTTCCTCTCTTTCTCCCTTTCCCCCCAATATCTCTTTTTTTTTTCTTTCGCTCTCTCTCTCTCCTGTTGGTCCTTTCCTTCTTTCTTCCCCCCACTGTCCCCTTCACCCCTGCTGTCATTCCTCTCCCATTTCTCCTTTCCTGTCCCGCTCATCCTCTCCATGCATCTCTTCCCTCTGTTTTTGCACCGTCATCCACTCGTCTTCCTTCCCGTATTCGCTCGTGCTCTTGTTTTTATCACGTCTCTTGTTTTGCGTTGTCATCTGCTCGTCCTGTTTTCGCTACACTGCCTTTGACATTTGCCCGTCCGTATTTTGACCCCTCTTTTTTTTCTCTCTTCTTTTATTTCCTTTACTCGTTGCTGTTTGTCCACCATCTCTGCCTACGTTGTGGTTCTTTTTCTTTTTCTACTGTACCACTTTTCTCGCACATTTTTCCTCTTATCCGCATACTGTTTTGTTTATTATTATTTATTCTCCCCCTTTCTCCCTTTCTTCCCATCCTAATTCCCATCTCGCTTTCTTTTTGTGCTTTCCTTTCATTATAATTCTCTCACTCTTCCAACACCTTTCCTTCCCCTCTCTCGCCTTCTCTTGGTCTCTGCCTCCTCACACGTTTTTTTTCCCGCTCCCCTCTTTCATCATCTCCTAATTTTCTCGGATTCTCTCTTTCGCCCGCGCATTGTCACTTTCTATCACCCTCTTCCCTCTCCTGTGTTTCTCTCTCTCTTTGTCATCTCTTTCTCTTTCTTTCAATCTCCCCTTCCCTCTCCATCTTTCTCTCTGTCTGTCTTTTGTCCTTTTTCCTTGTTGCGTCCTGATGCAGAATGGAATGTTCTATACTAGTTATGTAAGTACTTATCCCTGTTTAGTAAAACAAGTCTTACCGAGCTGCTCAATGCCTTCTGTAATGTGCTTCCAACCTCCCCTTTCTCTCTCTCTCTCTCTCTGTCTTTCGCTACATCTCTGTCTGTCACCTCTTTTCTTTCTTGCATTCATTGAAGACACTTGTTTTAAAAGACCTCCAGTGTTATTTATTCTTGCCCACTTTCTGCAAATAACCCTCTCACCTCTGTGCTACAGCCTTATGATCAGTACTAGTAAACTGTCTGATACCAGGAAGTCAGAACAGGGTGCTACTTTTCACCTACTCCCCTACTGCTTCCCTTTGACAGCCTCTTTTTGAGATCAGGTTTTGCCTTATGTCTCTCGTACGTCTCCCTTTAAAACTGTATGTCTCGTTATTTTCTGTATTTTTCTTATTGTCAACAAATCCCAAATTAATCGATCCTAATAACAAGGTTTGCCTGTGGATCCAAAGGCTGTTCCTCTGTACCATAGAGCTCTGTATTTGTCCAAAAATCTATTAAAAAAAACCTCAGTGACCCTTGCTGTTGCACTGGGTGACATGTTTGACTATACTCGCACACTGCACACTGCAGTTTACCTTCAGTCAGTGCCCCAAATGTTGTAAATATTCACTAGAGTCCCAAAACAACAGTGGAAATTATCCCCAACAAATCCCTTGTTTAGTGCCATTTGAGTTCTATTTGCTAAAAAGCACAATTCCCAGATGTCTAAGGAAGTTGCTGAATTTTAAAGATTGACATCTGTAGTAGGGACGAGTGTGCTTTGGCTCGAGTGCCACAGACAGGTTAGGGAGCTCAGGCAGTACTGAGAGACAGACACATTGTTGGGTTTTGTTGACAGTAAGAAAAATACAGAACTTCACCAGCTTTGTCCTTAAACCCAGCGGCATGTGCAGACAGACTCTATATCTATAATATGATTCATGGTCTGTGTCAAGACTTGTGAAACTAATGCTAAAGCATCTACTTTTTTAGACGTTATTGACTCGCTAATAAGAGCAGGAAGCAAAAACAGAAATGGCCCATTGGGATTAATTCAGTAGCACAATAAAAAAAACCCTGAAATTATTGTTCTCTCAGCAAAATAAACGGAGAAAAAAGAAATGTATTTTCCCTCCTACGTGGTAAAAGACAAAAGTCTCTGCATTGTGTGGTCAGCGCTGAACTGAATCCTGCTTTCATTACATTCAGTACATTTAGCAAGACAAGCAAACAGGAAGAAAAAAAGATCAGCTTTGACCACAAATAAATAAAGCTTAGAGAGGGAGAATGTTAATAGAACTTCTCATTGTCTCTGAGAAATATGTAAAACAACAAATATAACCCCCACAAGCCAATAACAATAATAATAAGTAAGTCATAGCGGCATGTTGCAGTAATATATAAGATAGCAGAGCAGCGAGTAAGTAAGCTGTCATGCGTCACGCATGATAAGTAAAACTCCCACATCTGAGATTCTCGCCAGGAGGGCAAGGTTGCAACTGTCTGTACTTGCTTCATACTTGCCAGCCAGAAATCCTACAAAACTCTCCGCTTATTTAACCTTCACTTAACCATGCAGGTCACTTTAAGATCAGAAGTTTGACAGAGAAAGCATAGAAAGAAGAGAGTTGCCTTATAGAGGGAGATGGCAAGGGGAATAGCAAAAGTTCAGTGCTGAATCTCTCAAACACCGGATTAAAGATGTATAGAAGACAGAAAAATGAATACGCAGGTAGGGAGGGAGGCACCTCGGAGACAGAAAGTCAGATCGAAACAGACAGATGAATGTAAAGCGTGATGCACTGAAGGCCGACAGCTGGGCTGAAAGACAGATGGACGAAGATGCTGATAGAGAAGGTGTAGTGGTGCATAAACAGTGTCTCACCTGCTCTGTTTTTCTCTCACACATCTTCCTGTCATGCTTTAAAAAATAAAATAAAGTGATGCCCCCCCTGTCATTTTGCACAAGCAGGCATGAACACAGACAGACCAGTCACACTCCGAGACAGATGGATTGCTAACTGAAGTGTGGATCACATGCAGAAAAAAATCAGTTAAATCTTTAATCATGGTTTCAGATACTATAACCGCTACGCCACTAGTGTATTACTAAATGAGCGGTAACGTATCTGACGGATGAATCAAGTCTTTTGTCTCGAATTGGATTCTTTTTCTCACCTCTCTGGACACTGGCCAGCTCTGCTGCTGCAAGAGATCAGATTGATCAGTGGTTATGATCAGCTTTCACAGCTTGCTCCCTGGAGGCGAGAATTAAAAGCAGATAGCTGATGAATCATATTGATTGACTCCTGAGATCAGTTCACTGGTTTACTTGACACGAGCAGAAACCTTTTTACCTTTAGATCTCTTAGCAGAGAATCCCTTCCTGTCCTCTTTTTGAAGTTCTCTTGGAGCTTTTACGATCTCTCTTAGATCAATTTTCTAAATTCCTTACACAGAATTCCATACTGACTTTGCTAAACCTCACATAGCAGCACATAATCTGTATCAAATGAGGCAACACATGCTGTTTATCAAGTTTATCACAGCATGACAACATGGTATATGTTAAAATAAAATGGTCATTATCTAGAAACGCTGTCTAACCGTAATTAAGTCTCGTCAGGAAAGTCTGCAGTGCTCATTTAATCGTCATTAGTAGGAATGAGGAAACACTTACAATTTATGCAGCAGGAGTCCTTATTAAAGAAGCTGTAGAGTAAGTAAAACGTTCAAATTACTGAGATGTATTTATTGAATATAATGTATTCCTTTAGAAATGAAAAAAGAAGTCTGAAGGTTTTCAGACTGTTGCTTGAGAGTTGCGTAAGTCAGCTGTCACCTAAAAAAAAGTAAATAACTCTGATTCCATAGACATGATACACATATTTTTTACATTCAGTGTGGCTTACGCTTCCAGATGGCTTCATCTCCAATATAGCAAATAAATCCACCCAGAAATCACAGACCTTGCCTCAGATTTCTTTCATAAGTTTTCTTCTGTATCAAAGTAATCAAATGAGAGTTGTCTGTATATCCACGGATATAGCAAACAGAAACTACCAATAGTTAATTGGGCATACGTTTAATTGTGCCTATTTGTAAACAAATGTAGGCTTAAAACAAAGGGCTCGTGTTTGTAGCCTACAGCCCGACCGCTCTTCTGTGCTCCAGTTTACCTTTTCTGCTCTATATCGACCACAAACTTTGTTTTTATTCAAGGCACCAAACACTAGAGTCATCTAAAATACAGCAAGCTGCAGTAATACATAAAATATAAATAAAGAAAGAACGTGTTTGTTTTCCTTTTTTTCCACTACTGACAAGGAATAAAAAATACAGGGAATTGTCTGGAAGTAAAATGAGGAGAAATGCATCCAAATGTTTGGAACTGTATGTTTATTAATATACATTGAATCTCTGAGTCTTTGCAGCTTTGCACATTGAAGGAGAGCTAAAACAATCGTAAAATACTGTAAGACTAGACTGCATTTATAGATCTACGAGCATAACAGGCTATTTGTTTAAAGCATTGATTAAGGCGTCGTTGCATAAGTAGCAATTAAAGGATAATGCTAGTGTTTCATTTTTCCCTGTAAAAAGGCTAAAACCCACCATTGTATTGCCTTGATTAATGTAATCCATCATTTGACGTAAGACTGCGAAGGTAATTTATGATTTCACACAGCTAATTACTGCGTTTAATGGTATAAAAGTATTGTACCCTTTTTTTTTCATTTATGTGCACTGTTACATACTCCAGCTGGAGACTTCCAACTCTGGCGGAGTGGAAGCTCTTTTTAATACCTCTGCAATGATTGAGGCGTTATAAAGTCATGCTAAGAAAAAATGCCTCAGTTGTCTCATTTACAATGATGGATTAGGTGTGTGAAGGCAGCAGTGTGTTTCTGCAAGCTGTTTTTAATGGGTTTTTGAAAACAGTGGGAGCCTGCAACTTCCAGGTGAGCAGGCTGACCTGCAGCAGAGCAAACAGTCACAACTTCTGACTGCAGCAAATACTGTACAATTATATGTGATTGGGGGATGGGGGAATCACACCGGTATTATCCTGTCACGTCTGCAAATGCTTGCAGGTATTCCCAAATCCCACCGAGAGAAGCAGATCCTTATTTGTTATATATGAGAAAAGTTGTCAGAGTGCCTGCCTCTGCGATACGTAACTCTTCAAACTGTGAAATTACTGCTGGCGATGGATAAACTCGTCTAAACATCCGTAAATATTAATACTCGTATATATGTGTTATAGATTGCCCACTGTTGTGCAAGAGGCACTCCGCATTGCATCTTCGCTTCCAATCTTGTAAACTGATTTTACTCCCGGACTTACACTGATACCACACTGTAAAGTACCACGGACAACTCGTTCCCATAAATTACCAATGTGTCGAGGATGTGCGTGGGCTGCAAAGGATGGCTACAAATTAGCCGTCACGTTGTATTTGAGGACCCGTTCAGCCGTAGTTGATTTGATTTGTGAAGTAAGGAGGGCAGGGCTAAACGCTGTCCTACTGAGCCACCCTTTTTAAAGCCGTGGTAATGATTGCTCCCAGTGGGATTCCATTAAGTACCTCTGCTGCATGCTGTGTTGTAGCACTCCTAATGTGCACACGCACACTCAATCAGCATTAAATATATTCTCCTTGGACATACATTAGACTGTGTGTGTTTTATTTGTGTTCAGAGTCGGGCATGTCTAATACAGACAGATGAGATGTTTGTTTAAGCTGCGGGGACTAAAAGTGTCTGAATGTTCTGGTATTCGTTGCACTATGGCAACAACAAGCCATAAAATGTTTGACCCCAGGTGTGATTTGTCTGTCACGTTGGCAGCCACCTCCGCTTCTCTAAAATCCTGGTTTCTGCTCATCTTCTAGGCTCCAGCTCCCATGGCTTTTCCTATGACCACACCGCAAGTGCCTGTGTATGGAATGGTGAGTACAGTACATACGGTCATCACATACATACAGGATAGCACTGCGGCAAACAACTGTCATTACTTATTAATCTGTAGATTTATTTTCTCAATAAATCTATTAATCATTTGGCCTGTGAAGTGTTCAGGTTGTTGTAGAAAATGGATACAAAGGGACAAATCCTCACATTTTAGAAAGCTAGAACCAGCGACTCTTGCTTGATAAATGTTTCAGAGGATTAGTTGATTATCAAAATAGTTGCCATAGCTACTTTCACTTGACTGTTTCCCCTTGTCTTCTCTCTCTATTTACCTATTTCCTTTCTTTCTTTCTCCTTTTTCATCCCTATTTCTGGCTCTTCATGCCTTTTCGCTGTTTTGCATCATTGGTTTCTCACCGTCTCTTTCGTCTTGCTGTCTTGTTCCATTTTTCATTCTTGTTTTTGTTTTTGTCTCTCACCTTTCTTGGTATCTCTCTCTCTCTTTCTCTCTTTCTCCAGGTCCCTCCCCAGATGGGTCAGATGGGTGGGGTACCAGTGATGGCTCCTCAGCCAATGATGTACAACCAGCCTGTTCTCAGACCCACCAACCCCTTCGCACCCATGCCTGGAGCCCAGGTCAGCTATCCGGTATTTGTGCATTCATACTAACAAATTAACACCTTTTGCAACTGAAAAAGTTTTTCATATTTAAATTATAAATTGTCTTGTGCTGAGTCCCAAAAAACTGGAATGTTTAATAGTGTTGTAAGTCCCTGGAAACATAAATCACATTTAGTTTTTTCTATTTAATTGCATTAGAAAGGTACAAAACTTCATGCCCCGCTTGCTCCTGCAGGATGAGTACACAGCCTCACTCAACACAATATCAATAGTATAGTTGTACAGAGTAAATTATGTAAAGTCGTCTCAAAAAGAAACAAATACATAGAATACCATACAAATACAGTACAATACAAAATCACTGCGAATGATCAAAGGAATATAAAATAATGACCAGGTAAAACAAATAATGATTTTTTCCCTCCTGTTTTATTTGAAAATTCAGGCCTGAGGAAGTTAAATGGAAAAGATTAGATAAATGTCTATAAAATAATGTATGTATATATATATATATATATATAATCTGATTTCCCATTAACTGTTTTAACTTTTTTATTCTTTGTTGGTACCCAAATGTTGTTTTAATGGACTGGTAATATGATGAAAATAAACAATTTCTCTCTTTCTGTCTATTCAGATGCAGTTTATGTAATCCAGTCAGGGGGGAAGCAGAGTGCCAAAAGCGACAAACAAACAGCAGAAGAAAACACACAAGAGGAACGATCAGATGGACGGAGGAATGATTTGATCAAGATGAAACGACTAAGAGACAGACAGACGACCAGATAACCAACCGACACCAAAAAACAAGTTGGAAAGAGGAGGAGAAGAAGATGACTGAACAGAGAATGGAGGGATGGAGGGAGGTGATGGGGAGGAGGTCATTCTGGCTGTTCATTGTCTGAAACAACGTCTTGTGTCTGTGTGTGTGTGTGTGTGTGTGTGTGTGTGTGTGTAGCTTCTTTCTGTTATACTGTCTAATTTGTGGTTTAAATCCTATCGATGGCGTGATGTTTCAGGAGAGGGAATAAGGAGAGAGAGAGAGATGAAGATGGAGGCGAATAGAGGAGAGAAGAGGGGATTGAGGAAATCCTACCTCTGGTTTTCGGTCAGACTGAGCCCGTCTGACTGCTGTGAGAGTCTCTGCTGCAGAATTAGCTTTATTTCATACCGGTGCTATTGTTCCTCTCTGGGTTACCGTCCGCCTGCAACAGCAACTTGGGAGCACTTAAGAGGGGACAAGTGTTTGTTTAGTGTGTGTGTGTGTGTGTATAAGTGTGTTTGTGTGCGCACAACAGTTGTTTCAGACAATACTTTTACAACCAACCTCCTCTCCATCCCCTCCGTTCGCTGTCTGTGTCCACGACTGTCCAATCAGCGAGAGATTTTAGAGGCGAATCTTCTCAAGTGTGTTTCCCAGTAATTTTCCGCTCTGTTGGAATATCTTTGTATTTTTAAATCTGTTTTCTTCTGCAGCCTCGCCCGAATGTTACCGGGGCTTGTACAGCAATTTGTTGAACCATTTGTTAATAGTGGGTGAGCGTTTGTTGTCTTGGGTTTTAAGCTAAAGTCTTTGTTACTCATACATGCATTGTTTTCTTCTCCTAAAGCTACAGATACACACAGACAAACAGGGCTAAGCGGCGACAACACGCTAGCACGGTACATAGTTGTATGAATGTGTGAATCAAAAGTTTGCATATTTTTCATATGGCCTGATCACACCACAAAGTGGTACAACAAAGTGTATCCATACATTCAGTCAAGTTATATTTCCTCTGTTTTGTGTCATAGATCTTCGTCTGGTATTTGATTCAATAAAGAGTTGTTAAAGAGAGAGAAGACACGCTAAAGTTCGTTAGTGGCTAACAGAAGAGTAAGTTCGCAGTTTATTCTGAAGGAATATTTTGCTCTATAAATCCTCCTTTGCTGAGCAGTTTACACTCCAACAGAGGAGGTTAAATAAAACTGGGCGCAGCCAAAGCTTCCTCCAATTTGGACTCTCTGTTCCCCCAAAAGATCGAGACAGCTTGATTTTGGTCAACGGCAACAATTTGTCCATCAAAAGTTTAAAGGTTCCACAAATTTACTTCGCCCTTGCTAAACAAATCCGCTCATCCAGACTGTTGCATTGGAATGAGCTAGTTTCACAGTTGTAAATGCTGGTGAGACCAGGCATTTAGCCAGACATAATTCTACACATGGTTATTTTGACACATTTATGGCTGCCATTACTCTCAGTAGAGGTTAAAATGGAAGAAATTTGTGTTTTTATTATGCTGAAGAGACTGCATAGTGTTTATTGGCCTGTCACCCGCCTGTTTGCACCTGGTTGACCTGTGTGTATCTGTTCTTCTTGTCTTCATCAGCTCACCAACCACATTCAGACGTCAAAAGGTTTTTAAAATAAGAGCTTTTTCATTAGGTACTCCCTATCAGCAGATCCACATTATGTGCCAATGATTGATGACAGCAGCAGTGAGTGAGTGATGAATGTTACTGAATCAAGTTGAATTCACTTTAAATTGCACTGAATCAAAGTGAGTGGCTTTAAGTGCGACTCCGTCTACACCGAGAGCCAGACGACACTGAACTTTTGGCATTACTTTCGCTCCGTTGGTTCCAGGAAATTTTGGGGATCAAATTTGACTCATGTAAGAAGTCATGGCCATTCCTCAGCCAAAGCATCTGTCACCATGAGATTGACTGTTGGAATATTTGTGCGTAATGCATTTTAGTGTGTGTCCACGTGTGCGCTTACACATTTATGTGTTTGTTTTCCATTGAGGGCTATTTCTGAGGGTCAAAATTGTGTCAAATTTTCGAGCCAAACTTGACACGAAATTGTGCTTGTTTTTGTTTTTGTAAAATCAAAAATTTTGTTGCAAAATGCACATGCAAAAGTTTTGCACTGAAGTGACTATCCTGCCGTTAGTGGAGCTGTTGCCGGTTTTTCTGGCGTGGAAAAAAGTCGAGAAAGAGATTTGAAGTTTGTAGAAATTGTTTGGGGGGGTTTTACAATAAGAAAGTTTGTCTAAATCTACCAGCCACTGTGGCAGGTAACTAAATTATTTTCCTGCCATTCTAAACAATGAACTTGAAACTTTTTGTAGTCCCACCCCCCCCCCAGTCCCCCAGTCCCCCAGTCCAGTGTCTACATCCCAGTCATCAGTGAGTAGTTGAGTCGTATCACCCTCATCATCCACTCTGCTATGAAAATCTCTAGAATCTCGCTTCAGTCTCTCAACTCTGTCTAGTTGGTCTATCTCTAGAATGGTTTATTAGCCTGCTTCGTCACTGTTTGGTATGTGTAGATATGTAAAAGAAAAAAGAAAAAAAATAGTAGTAATAATAACCAGTTTCTGTCTAGATTGTCTGCTCCCACCCATCACTGTCGCTGTTGGATAGATATTGCTCTTAGACGCTTCGTGTCGCAGTCTTGTGTTAGCTTAGCCTCCCGTCATAGTATCCTCCTTTATAGAAGAAGGTTTCCCACCTCGTCCTCACCTCTGCCAGTGTCTAGTAACTATAGCTCTATTATCTCTCTTGGTGTCTCTGTCTTTTAGCTGTAGACGAAACCTTTCGGAGGCTGTCAGGCTTTGTGGTTCGCTTTTTCTCTAGCTTTGAGTGCGCTCTTTTCTTCTCGCTGTTTGCATCGCTCCAGTGTCTGGTAGATGAGGTCCTCAACATTTTGTTTTTTTTCTTCCTCCACCGTCTCGACGACATCAGCCATCTCCGCCTATCTCGTTGCGATGTCAGCAGCCTAACAAAAACGGTCTCTGGTTGTGCTGGAATCAGATGTTTGGATATCCAGGTCTCTTTTGTGACTTTGTTGGCTACAGGAGAGAGACAAAGTGCTCTATACAGTATACAGTTCAAAACAGGTTTGGGAATTTAGATAAATGCTACCAGATTTCCGCTGCAGCTTGAAAGTTTATCTGCTCAGTTAGCCACTCTGACAGTCAACCAGCTGTTGTTCAGGGGTACTTTTGTGCCAAGTAGCAATCCACCAATCATTGTTGAACAAAACGTTTCAGTTCCAAGCCTTCATAGTAAGGAAACATTAAGGTTATCTTGTGTCCGGCCAAAACAGTTTCTGTCCTAAAACTCAACCGTCGTCAACATTAAACTGCCTCTGACACCGTCCTACCCTGCCTGTGCGGGCTTCTCCATCCTCTAGAATACCTTTTTTTGCTTTTCCGATTCCAACTTGGACTCTCATTAAAGTATTTTGCTTTTATGGATGTCTGCGCATTGGCACCAAAATGAGTTCTAATTATGGTTCTTTACTTTCTGGGACAGCTGTCTTACCATCTCTAATCTGGTGTGATGAATTGGCACTTCAGAAAGAGAGGACGTTGATGTGGCACTGATCCAGATCATCATCATCCTGTATCTTAAAAACATTTAATCAGGTCCAACTGCGGATCTGATAATTCCTGATGTTTGTAATTACCTCTACAGAATACAAAATGGGTTTGCTTTGGTACGAAGGGCGGTAAAACCAGTGCCAGGGTATTTTCTTTCTTATTGCCAATTTACCTGAAATCAAAGATTGACCCATTCTGAGTACCTTTTTTTTGTCTTACAAGCTAAATCTACATTTTCTTGATCAATAGTTATTGGCTTTCCTTCTTCGGTTTCTCATTCTGTTTTGTAAAACTTTAAATTTCTCTGCATGGAATCCAATCCTGCCTGTTCCGATGAGGTTTTTCTTTGTCTGTGTGTCTCAAGTGGTTTTGGAAATGGTCAAACTTCGCGGGGAAACAGAGAGAGTTTTTAACTGGCTCGTCTCCTTAGCGTCGATGTAACTGCCAGTAATTATTACAGCTTTATCTTGTAGGTAATTTTGTTACGGTATTTATCCAGGGAGGGGTTTGGCCGAGCATGCAGGCTCTTTTTTCGGCACCCCCCTTCCTCAAATTCAGACACATTCACAGCTGGGACGTTTCCCCCAGGACAACCACTGTTTGTTGGTGTTGCCTGCCGAGCTGGCGCATTTGGGATCAGACCAGGCAACCTTGTGACTCTCTCAACTTTTAAAAAGCTGCTACCACACTTCTCTGCATTGTTGTAGCATGAATCTGGGTGGGGAAGGATACACGGATAAACCTTGATGTCATATTAAACTGTCTGTTCTCTGCTAAGGCCAAGTGTTTCAAACATTCGGAGAGCAGACTCCTCTCTGGCGAGTCATCCCTCTCTCTTTCTAGGGTCGGTGAGTGCATGGTTGTATCGTTGTCGATGTTTGTTGTCCTTTTTTTCCAAAAAGCATGATATGACAGTGATGGTGATGATGAAGATAAATTCTCTCCTCTTGTTGTCCTTGTTTTGAAAACCGTTACCGTCTGTCCGGTGCCAGCGGGGCAAGGTGAAGGGGTGCGGAGACGGTCGACCCTTTTCTGACCAATCATTTGCCGTCCAGGACAGCAGGTTCGCCAGTTGTTGGACTGAATCTGAAACAGATGTTTGTAGTCGTTAAACGAGCCACTGTAGCAAAAAAAAAAAAAATGGAGCGCCAAACTTTTTGTGTTACCTCTCCCAAAGATGTCACATTTGTTACTTGCAGCACACGGCAGATTCGTCCTTTTGGATTCTCCACTGCTGCGGCGCCATCTGTGGGTCGCCCGAGCAGCCGTGGAAGCGTTTAGAAGAGAGAGATCGATTTTAAGAGTCAAAAAACCCACAAAATTGAACGAACGAAAACAAAGCGAGAGGCCGTTTAACGGATAAATTTCCTCATTTTGTCAGTGAGTCGGTGTGTTGAATCAAAGATCTCTTGTGCACGTTCTGTTTTTTCTACATCTGTGTTTTTTGGTAAGAACCCTCGGATTGCTGCCTCACTATTCTGTATATAGAGAAATACACACATTCACACTCACAACACAGAGCTTAAAGACATACTCTCATAATCTGCAACTGCATTATTTTGCATTTACTCTTTATTTTTCTGAACATGAAAGATATTAGCGTTATTACAGCAGTATATAGGTATGAATACTACTCAGTGGGGACGGGCTAAACAGACAGACGATGCAGATTTCGAGGGCTGCAGACCTCCCTGTACATCAGGATCAGCCATGAATTCTCAATGATGCCAAATGTTTTTTGAGCAGAGTACACCTTTTAATCTGTCTCTCTCTCTCTCTCGCTCTCTCTCTCTCTCTCGCTCTCTCTCTCGCTCTCTCTCCTCTGTCTCCTCCCCCCATCTCTTTGTACATTTTTTCTATTTATTTAAAGCAGAAATATATGGATTGTATTAAGCATGGAAAGGCAAACAAATGTTACAGTTGACAAAAATCACAGGCTTTTATTTTACAGCAGTATATTTGTTTATTCTAGGGATCTGTTTTCTCTCTCTTTTTTTGGAAGAAATAAAAAGTCATTTTCCATTCCTAAACAATTGTCTGTCTGTTTTTTGAGTTTCGGTCTCAACTCACTACTCAATCTGCAACGAGAGTCTACAAACCTTTTAAAGTTTCGGATGATAAAAATTCAAGGCCTTGAAATGTCAAACAGTGTGTCTCCTGATTTTTAATTATATCGCCAGAGGGCTTGAAAATATGTTTTCTTAATTTAGCCTCTTTTCTAGTGAAACCTCAACCCATGTTTTAACTGATCCAATATGTATTTCGCCAGGCTTTATATTTTATTACAGTGTTTTTACTGTAATTGGCACGTTCTACAGTCCTTGTTTATACTGGAGAAATTGGATGCCTACCACAGTTGTCCTCGGTCAGCAACTACACAACTCCAGGCGAGGGTTAACTGACTTGCTGAGGCACACTGATGGTATTAGGATGAGCAGAGTTTGCTAATAATGCACTGGGGTTTTAAAACGGTGAATTTAGTCACAAGACTAATTCAATGTAACTTTTATTATCGAAAGACTGGAATTAATAAACAAATAAGACAACAGAAAAAAAATCAATTTAAGGAATAAAACCAAAACGTGCATCGTCTCTAAATACCATAAAAATACCACAGTAATAAGTAAAGTAATTGAGAATGTGTGACAGTAATTCAACTGGTATTAGATCAACAGTGATGTTAAAGGTTGTTACAAACCTGATTTTAAAGGTGCTAGATGTGGCATTTTAACAGCAAATCACTGATAAATGTGATATGAGACGAGAGTATTTATTGTCTGTAAGACAAATTGATTAGTGGGAAGAATTCTCTGCTATTACACGTATATTAATAATGATGTGGAGATCAATTTTTAAGATTAATGAAATAAAAAAAACCTGAAGACTGTGTTCTGGTTACATGTTTAAGCAGCAATATGACTTTGCATGTTGAGCTGCCATCTATCAGTCTGATTATAAAAGATGTGCACCTGTATGTTTCAACATAGCATGAGACAGCTAAAGCTTCCTGTTACAGGAAGAGGGCGCTGTTTTTCAAGAGCAAACAGAGCTTCAGTTTTCCCAAATGGATAACACTTTGTCCACTTGCTGTTTTCCTAACTTGATATCTACATATCACATACACTGCTCTGACTCATCCCTCGTAAGAGAGCTGCTGCTGTAGCTTTTAAAGTAGGCAGGAGTAATATTTAAAGTTCTTGAATCATGTAGGAATGTGTCATCACTGATGTAGGCTAACATGTAGCACAAAGGTGTTTTTATAAATTGTGTTTTTGTAGTTTTTGTACCGAAACATCTTTCATCCTGGGCGCAGGGAGACAAATTGCAGCGACTGCAGGTGCTTCGACAATAAATTATTCACTGAAGACAAAACACTGCTGTTTGTCAGGCACGGTGCATTTTGAGTGATATATATTCTTTCCAAGCCCCATTCAGTCAAAAAACCCTGAAATGCCACCAAATACATCACCTCTGGCGTCCGTGAGAGCCTCTTGATGTGATTGTGGAACAAATGTACACAAACAGTTTCATTATTCAGAGCTCAGTGGGAAGTCAGGAGGTGGGAACCTGCTTTTTAATCCCTCACCGTGGGAGAGACGTATTGTTCCAGCAACAGACAAAAATCAAACCAGGCTGTCTTTCAGATCAACAAGCGGGGATATACAGGTACGTATACTACACGTGTGTATATAAAAACAACAGTATATGTATTGGAAATAAGTTGTAATTGTATGTTTTTAGTTTGGTGAAGTTTTCCCACCGTTATGGGGAAATTTTCAGGTGGTACTGTATAAATAACAGCCTTTGTTCCAGGTAATACTGCGTCATACAATTATATTTTAGTGAACCTTTAAAGGATCAATTGGCAGAAATTGAAAATGATATTCATAGGTATGTTTTCATTAGTGTTTAACTTTAAACAACTTTAACTTAGAATGAGCGTTTTTTTACCACAGAGGAAGCAGGTCCTCTTCTACAGAGTCTAGATAGGGCCTTTCACAGCCACCATAGTTTCTCCTTCACATTTGGAAGTTCTCAGCTGTATTCAACTGGTTGCAATCTGCTACTTCATCGCTAGATGCCACCAGAGATTGGAAGTGATGAAGTACAAATATATTTTCTTACTGTAGTTTTCGTACTTTCTACTCCTCGTGTTTTCAAAAACAGGCTCATTACTTCCTTATCTTTTTCCAAGTTCATAGTTTCAGTTAGTCTTTTACAGAAACAGCTGGTGGAAACGTCCTTCAGAGAAACAAAGAGACTACTACAAGAGACTACTTTTATACCTTGCGTACATTTTAGAGCCTCTAATTTTTCACTTTTATTCGAGTGAATAAGTTGAATCAATACTTCTACTTTTACTGGGGTGTTTTTTTACTCAAGTATCTGTACTTCTACTTGAGTTAAGACTTCACTGAATCCTGCCAACTGGTCCTTTAACTTTTTGGAAACACTTCTAGCATGGCCTTTTCCTGTTTATCCTAACACTACCTCTCTGCGCCAAACCGGGTCCGTGAAGAAATTGTTTTCCCAGTTTGGTTTGGAAGAACTTCACTAGTCTGCACATAGCCCTGATCTCCAGCCAGGAATTATCAGCCAGCATCAGTGTTTCACCTCACTGATGCTCTTGGTGGCTGAATGGAAGCAAATCCCTGCAGCCAGGTTGCAGAATCTGGTGGAAAGCCAGAAAGCCGGGAGAGTAGAGGCCGTTATATCAGCAGATTAATGCAGATGGTTTGAGAAAGAGATGTGAACAATCACACATGGGGGTGACATTCAGGTGTCCACATGCTTTTGGGTTATATAGTGTAATTTACCAAGACAAAGAAGACAATGCCCTCATTGTTTCTATATTTAGAAAGTCTAAATGCTTTGTTCAGTTTTGATGCATAAGATGATACGTTTTATGTTGTACGCACACTGTAATTTCACATTGTTTTTAATTAGTTTTTATGCACATCAGTCTTCACCAATATGCTGCCACAGTCATAAAATTAAACTGTTCACGGATATATTTATATTTAACACTAGGGCCGTGAATTGGCAAGAATCTCATGATACGTGCTACTACAATTCAATATATTGTTTTACTGTAAGCAAGGTGATGCATTTGCTATATTTTTAGTTATCTAATTTTAGGGAAACTGTCATAGCATAAAGAATACACCACTATATGTACATGAGTAAAAAAAAAAAAGGTGTTTTTTATCCAATCAGAACTGTGGGACCCAATCTCCAACATCATAGCCCTCAGTTAATGTTTATATAAGAATCTTTGTAATACAGTGTTTTTGAGAATGGATACAACATCACAAAATGAAATATCATGATACTGAACACAAGACAAAACCTTTCAGTGCATTTTAAAAGACACTGTGAATTTGGAAAAACGTAGAGGAAATCCAGTTCCTCCAGGAAGTAGTGGAAGCAAGTATCTCCGCTAATTGTTCAATCACATTGAGCCAAAACGTCATTTTGGCTCAATGTGACCCAACAGTACCACCATGAGCAAGGAAAAACTGCCTTTTTAAGAGGCAGAAACCTAGGACAGATCCTTCGGCTCTAGGTGGGTGGTCAGTAGAGAGAGAGAGAGAGAGAGAGAGAGACAGACAGACAGACAGACAGACAGACGCACAACAACAGCAGCAACAACTACACTAATAGTAGTGACTGCTGATGATGAACATGAAGAAGATGATGGCGGCGACGACAACAACGACGGGGGACAATGAGCAGTGACAATAGTAATAATAGAAACTGAAGTAATAATAATATTAATAATAATAATAACACTAATATCAGTAATATTAACAATGGCAGTCAAGCAGGACCATGGCAGGAGGCTCCACCAGGATCGACAAGAACCTGCGAGACGAGAAAGCACAAGAACTCCGGGGAAGAAGTGAAGTTAGTAACATGCATTAATGGGACATGAATGTGCGCAGAAAGAGAGAGAGAGGAAGAGAGGAGCTCAGTGCACCATGGGAAATCCCCCGATAGTCTAGGCCTATAGCAGCATAACTAAGGGACTCACCTGAGCCAACCCTAACTATAAGCTTTATCAAAGAGGAATGTCTTAAGCCTACTCTTGAATGTGGAGAGGGTGTCTGCCTCCTGAACCACAACTGGAAGCTGGTTCCACAGGAGAGGAGCTTGGTAACTGAAGGCTCTGGCTCCAATCAGGTATTTTAGGTCGCAGTGGAGGCTGTTGTAGCAGCGCATTAATGCACATGGTTTTAGATGTACAGGAATCACGTGGGTGCAATATTTACATGTCAGTACTTACAGCATAGTTTAGTTCTCCTTAATGGGCCACAATCTGGCTTTTCCCTTAAAATAAAATACATAAAAAATGAGACTGCAAATGCTGGACTTGGTTAAATATTCAACAGGTTTATGCCAACAACACAGGCTGCTTCTCCTGGGAAAATAAAGCCATGATTTGGATCCAGTGGCTGCAGTGGATCCGGTAAGAGAAAGTGACAGAAATCCAGGAGTTGTCAGTCCCATTGTGACGGCTGCCGGGCCACAGCAGGCCTGTTTGTGACAGCCGACGCTCAGCAGGAGGAATGTCAACCCCCACCTTCAGATAAGTTTTGACAGCTGTAAATTGAGAGAGGGAAGAGAGGGAGGAAGGGAGGTGAGCTGCTATTTTTATCTTTCATTCAGCCAGGCCCAAACCAACCAGCCCCTCTCTGGACATCTCCTTTCTGGCTGACCAGAGAAGCTTCTAGAGGTCCGACCGCAGCATTAAGACCAGGATAGACCGCCGGGGCTGGGGGGGAAAGATATCTGAACGAGAGACAAAGGAACCCAGTGAAGGAGAGATCACACAAACCCAACAGGCCAACATGGCGCTGCTGTGCTACAACAAAGGCTGTGGGCTGATGTATGACGCTGACAAGAATAAGGACGGTAAGATCCTGTCTGTGATTTTAATTCAAACACCCCAGTCTGGGTCTGTTGGTTGGTTTAGTATTTTGTTCATCTAGAACGTGAGGCCTCGGTGGAAGTCAGTCTGTGTGAAATGAAGAATGTAAGCCTGTTGTGGTGTTAGTAGGAGCTGGCGGTGTGTAGATCTGCTTTGATTTTCTTGGATGAGGTTCAGTTTACTACTTTTTTGTAATTAATCTGAGATAAAATAGCACATTTAAAACCTGTAACAGTTCAAAAATACATCACCTGCAAGAATATTTTTCCTTAAATGCTGAAAAAACAACAATCATTACCAACAGCATTTAATCTGAGTTTGGGTTTATGTCTGCTTTTATTTTGAAAGTATGCTCCTGTGTTAAATTTATTGGTGTTTTTTGGCCTCAAAATAGGTAAACGGTAAAGTTTGGGTTCAAATTTGACAAATTCATGACTTAAAGACAAGACGATGCAATTCAAGTGTTCAAACCTTCAGATTCAAACCTTTACCGAACACAACAGGTGGATAAGAAACCAGATTTCCTGGCAAATGCTGGAAAAGTTGGCTTGTGTGACGTCAAAGAAGTTGTCGTATATCTGCTGTGTGTGTGTGTGTGTGTGTGTGTGTGTCTGAGCCTAGCCTAGCATGTATCGTAGGCCACGTGTCTCTGGAAGCATGAGACAGCTATCTCTCTAGCAACCGACTTCCTTTTATGGGACACCTCTCAACTCTAGTGACCTCCATGGACAGCTGGGGCACCCTGATGACTGTGTGTGTGTGTGTGTGTGTGTGTGTCTATATACAGACTGACAATGTGTCTTTCTTTTTCCCGGTAAAGATTCCTGCGTCTTCCATCCAGGAGTCCCCATCTTCCACGATGCTCTCAAGGTAAAGAACTGATAAATAAGTATATTAGTACACAAATAAACAACAAAAAACGTTCTATTTAGCTGGATGAAACTCGTGTGTGTGTGTGTGTGTGTGTGTGTGTGTGTGTGTGTGTGTGTGTGTGTGTGTGTGTGTGTGTGTGTGTCTTTCTCCAGGGTTGGTCCTGTTGTAAGAAAAGGACGACAGACTTCTCAGAGTTTCTCTCCATCAAGGTAAGAGCCGCTCAGGGTCGAATAATCTGCAGAAAACTCGAGATCCTGTAAATATTTGTGGTTGGTTGGAGCAGAGCTTCTATTAGTCTATAAATTACTATTATTATTAATAATATTAAGGGTATTAAGTGGCAGTAAAACCTAGTGATGCCTCTATATGACCTATATAAACAAACAAGACCATGAGCGAGCCCAAAAAAAGCCCAATAAATGAATAAATAAATAGGCTAAATTAACTGAGAATCAGCCGATTAATCCATAATGAAAACAATCATTAATTGTAGTCATACACAGAATTCTCCCCAATCTAATGATATATATATATATATATATATAGGTAAGCGGTAAATATCAAAAATAGATTGGTAATAGATATATTATATACTGTTATTAACAATAACACTACCATCATATCATCAGTACTTTTACCACTGTCTTGCAACTACAACTTCTTTGCACCTTATCTACCTATTTATCTTTTTTATCTTTTCTACCTAAGTATTTTATTCCATTGTTGTATTTTATTCTATTGTTGTATTTTATTCTATTGTATTTTATTCTATTTAAATGTTTAATATTATATTAATATATAGATTAATAAAGTCTATCTATCTATCTATATTACAGTAACAGTCTCAAGAGACATTTTTCTGCATTGGGTACGTTTACTTTGAACACTTTAATTAGATGTTCCTGATTATACTTTACTTAAAGCCTCTACAAGGAACTTTAATTGTGTGTGTGGCCCCCTATGGGCTTTTAATTTAATTGAATTCAATGGGAAACGACCTGGTGGCTGGCATTAAGAATAACGATAGAGAAATAGCCAATCTTCTCATTGATGGTCTTCTGTAGAGCTTACAGAGGCATCGGTGTTAAGAGACTGTTCCATAACCAGTTAAAGACGGCTTGTATTAGGTTTTCAGTGCAGGACTTTAACCTGTAACACTTTGTGGCGTCAGTACTGAACACACAGATACTAAAATGAGAAGAGCGTTACTATCTGAAGTTTCAGATCCTGTGCATTATCTTCCTTTAAAACCAGACTCATGTGACCGCTCTGCTTTGAACTCAGGGCTGCACCCGCGGGCGCCACAGCAACGAGAAGCCCCAGGAGCCTTTGCGGCCGGAGGTGTCATCAGATAAGGCCGAGATTAAACACAACAATGGCCCAGAGATAATCTACCAGGGACCCAAATCTGCTGAGAAACTGCAGAAAGAGCGGCCCAGGTGTGTGTTTGTAACGATAACTGGTGTTCTGTTATCCTCCCTGCAGTCGCTCACAGAGGTCAGGACTCATTTAAACCATGCATCAGCCTGCTCGCCGGTGCTGATGACGCCTCCGTGTGTTAATATTTTGTGGTAACATCAATGTGTGTGTGTGTGTGTGTGTGTGCAGCTCAGACGAGCCCAAGACCAAGATGCCCCACAAAGTGTCGGCGTCGCTGGCTCAGGCGCTGGAGAAACTGGACCTCAGCAAGAAAGCGGAGAACGAGAACAAAGGTCAGTGTTTGATAGAGTGAAAGGACGTATTGTTTCATTTTAAAATCAACTAGAACATAATTATCTAAAGAAGAAAGTGAGAAAATCTTACAAAATATTCAACCATTTTATTATAAAGTTCATATTTATATTTAAAACCAGAAGGCAGGTTGCAGCACTTGAATCAAGAAAACAAACGTTATAATAAAATACTTGAAACAGGTTAAAATATTTATTCTTTTTGAAATTGTTAAACTTTAAAGATGCTTCTTTTTACAATCTAATTAGAATTCATTCACAAAAATTACTTGAAGAGTGCTTTTTCTGCATTTATAGAACATTTCTGACTAAATGTACGTTTGTTTAAGTGTGTTGTGTTTTTCAGTTTCCAACACGAATCAGCTCGTCTCAAGAGATTTCTGAAGTCTGTCTGAGAGTCTGTATTCAAAAATAAAAATCAATAAATGTTGAACTTGTGTTCACTATGTTAGAGAATACTTGAAACTAGTTTATTTGTATTGGGAACAAGTTGAAATGTTCATACTGCATTTAAGACTCAAATAAAGTAATATTTTTGCAGATGTCTGGACACATTAGTCTTTGTATAATTACATGTTTTTATGTACATTTCTGCTTATATTTCTATTTTCTAATGCACTTCTGCTTAGGAGTAAACATTTGTTAGTGTAAGTTTGATGTATAATCAAACAACAGCTTATATTTTTGTACATTTCTGTGTTAGAATTGTGTCCATAAGCCTTTTTTTCTTAAAACAAATGTAAAAAATCTGACTATTTCCACCTGTTTTCAATATAAATGACTTGAAACTAATTAATTTTCACTGGAAAGATGCTGAAATATTCTTAGTATAACCTGCTGGTGGAGTTTCTCACTTGTTTTTTTTAAAGAAAATAGCTGACTTCATAAGAAAGACATATTCGACACAGTTGCGATTTGCCTATCCCACCTCTCTCTTTGTCTCTTCTTCCTCCTCCGACAGAGAGTCAGAAAGTCATGCCAGGGACCCGATGCAAGAACGCCGGATGCAAAACAGTGGGTGTCTTCTTTATTATCTGAGTGTTTGTTTGTAGGCAACTTCTGTGGCCCAAAATAGTCGACTATCTGACATCAGCAAAAGCCGACAAATTCATCATCTACACCGATGGGAGCACACACACACACACACACACACACACACACACACACAGAGAGAGAGAGAGAGAGAGAGAGAGAGAGAGAGAGAGAGAGAGAGAGAGAGAGAGCTCTGTAATGTAACTGTGCTTCAGTTTGAGTTCAGTTCATCTTTCCTGTATTTGTAATGCTTATTGACAGCTCCATCTAGTGGACAAGGCTGGTAGTAACAGATGTTACTTTTTAAACCTGTTCTGGCTCCATTACCTCCTATTTTCTTCCCCTAAAATACATCCCTAAATTCTTCCGACTTCAGCGGTAAATAACTACATTTACTCAATTATTGTACTTAAATACAAATTTAAGATACTCTACTACATTTCACAATGAAATACACTCATATTTAACTCCACTCAGTGTATTTGACAGCTGTTATTTGTTACTTTGCAGATTAAACATTTTAAATACATGCAACGTATGATCATTTTGTAAAATATGATGCATTGTTATAGTTTAAACTACCCAACATGTAATGTAATGTAACTAATGTAATGTAGTTAATGTAATGTTGCATGACCTCAGTTAGTACATGGTCATGTAAATGAGTATAACATGCTTTTTAATATTAATTGCCCCTGAAATCTTGGTTTCAAATCAAAGTATTTCTCTACAACAGTAAATATATCTATGACTAGATGAGCAACAACCAGTTTAAGGTTGCAAAAAACTTCATCATTAGGTATATTTATATTCACAGGACATTTTCCAGGCGTTTTCCTTGACAATATAGGACAGCACTTGCTCACAAGGCTGAAGCCATGTAGTTGGAAAAAGAATAGACCTGTAAACCCAGTAAACCCACTCTGAAGTGTCATACAGTTTATGTATGTGATCTGAATCAGGGGCTAAAATACAAACATTTCCAGGACAACATGGATTATTTCCAGGATATTTGCTTATTTTAATTTATTTCCAGGTGTTTCCATGACTGGAAAACTAGTCTGTAAATTTCCAGCTTTGTTTAACCCTCAGTATCTTTAAAGCTGCAGTCGGGAACTTTTTGTCATATTTGCTTAAACGTCTGTATTTGACGACCTTGAATGAGATCTTTCTCCGCTCTGATTGGTTGTTTTCGTTCAGACATGGTGGATTTTCGCAAATCCCATTAAGCGCCCTGGGATGAGCCAGAGGAAGCTGATTTTTTCCACAGATTATCCGTCTCATGTACTTCTGTCAGGATATAGTGAAAAGTTATCTACTGCAGCTTTAAAGTAAAATAATCCAAACTGTTCCAGCTCAGGCATAAAATGATGATCTTCTGTGACCCCGTCTGCAAAACAAGATCGAGAAACGTAGCATTCACACAAACACACACTCGACTGGTGACCTTATCGTGTGACCGATGATCAGAGGCGTTTCCATTACACATTATTGATCACTCCCATCCGCACTGTGTTTGTGTGTCTTAGGTCTATCAAGGCCCAGAGACAGACGCGGACATCTGCACCCACCACCCCGGAGGTCCCGTCTTCCACGAGGGGTAAGACACAAAGAGTTAAAATGACTGCTGCGTGTTTCCACTTCTTCACTCCGGACATTGCAGAGGCATTATGCATAATCCGCCATAACAAAATCATAATTACAATCTTTATTTGCACAACTCTCATTTCAAACTATAATTAGACCGCTTCTACAAAAGGAGGAATGTAAACAAAACTAAACTGAAGGCCGTGTAAGCAAAGCAAGAAACATAAAAGCTAAAATATGAAGAAGAAAAAAAGGAAGATCAGACAATTAATTAAAGATCTGAAACTATAAACAAATATGCATTATTACAAACAGAACTGCTCTTTGAATCACACAAAGTATATGAGCATCACTCTCCCGCTGATGTGGTAACACTGCTGCTTGGTGCAGTCATTGGGTTTCTAACCTGTGACACTTTGTTCTTTTTTTTTGTGTAGCTATAAGTACTGGAGCTGCTGCTGCATAAAGACAATAGACTTCAACGCTTTCCTCGATCAGAAAGGCTGCACCACAGGGAAACACCGCTGGATCCCAAAGCAGGTACACACACCGCCTGAAGGGAAATACAGCGTCAGTGGCAGGTAGAACAAAAGGGGAGCCTTTGTTCAAAGTTTGCAGGAAATGACCTTAAAAGCAGATACAGACATGATGACGACAACTAAACAGCCTCCACATTTTAAAATGACCTCTTTTTTTTTTGGACCGACGTTGGTGTGTGCAGCTTGTTTGTTCTTTCTACTGAGATTTTTGATCAGAAAACAGCAAAACAACTAAGCTGAAAGGGGAGAAGTCTACGTCTGAGGCTAAAATGACAGTTATAATGTTCAGTTTTTGTTTAATATATGCAACATTTCATCCGGTCATTATGGGTAAAACCAGTGGTTCCCAACCCTTTTCCTTAACAGGCCCCTTTTCTATAATGTAGTAAATGGTGATTTTGTGGATGTGTCATATTATATTCAAAACTGTATAATTAACTCAAATAGTGAGTAGTTTATGTAAAACGAGTGATTTTGAGCAGATCATTTCCAGTTCTCTGTCTGTAAAATGTATTTTTTTAAAAATCATTTCTAACAATCATACAGACTTAATAGGCTTTTTTGTTATAAATTCAGTGTTTTCTTTATTTTACATTTAAATTTCTTTCATAAAAGTGAATGCTGAGATATTGGCGACCAATAGTTGGAAACCAGTGGATTAAACCGTGTTAATTCAATGTGCTGCTTTTGAATTTTATTGAGTTTCACTGAGAGGTGTTTCCAATATTTTGTCCACCTCCATTTATAAGAGGATATTTTAAATAAAGCCTTAATGATACAAATCACATGTTTATTACAGAATGAGAAGCACCACAATGTCAGTTTAAATCAGATCAGAATAACACTCACTTACACTGTAATGAGGGTTTTTATGTCGGTAAATTGTCACTCTTACACAGTAAGTGCACATTAAGCTGGCAGCGCCGGCATTGATCGCTGTTTACTGTTTTGATTCTCCGTCTAAAAAGGTATTCCTGCCATTACTGATGCTCCGTTTCTTCTAAAAGCGATAATTATCACGAGAAGTCAAACAGAAATGTGTGACGTGAACATGATCCTCATCTCCAACTCTAAATCCTGTGTTAGAGGAACAAGTAGGATTAAAACTGAATCCTTTATCAGACACATAAAATGGTAGGACTTAGTATCAGAACATTTATTTGGGCCTCCCTCTGTGTACTCTAACATCCAATCTATTTCTTTTGTGGCTGACCTTTGTGTGTGTGTGTGTGTGTGTGTGTTTTTTTTTTTTTACAGGACAAGAAGAAGGTGGCGTGTCGACACGACTGGCACCAGACAGGAAATAACGTTGTTGTAACGATTTACGCCAAGAACGCAAACCCAGAACTGACCTGCATAGAGGCCAACCGGACAGTGGTGAGTGTCTTTTACACACACACACACACACACACACACACACATTTTGACTTTATTAATGGTTAATATCAGCGTCACAGAGCAGTTAGGAGTCATTAATAAGAGGGAGTTTTGGATTGTCAGACTGTTGGCTGGTGTTTCTCCTTTCCATTTCCATTCTGATCTTTTATAAATGCTGAGCTTGGGATACACTAGCCACTAGCCTTTTGGCCAAAGTTGTTGTTATTAATGGTTTCTAATTGATTTATTAGACATATTACAAAGCCAACACAGCAATAAGCTATACACCCTTTATAAAAGCTGCCTTGCTGGTAGTGGATTTTCATTTAGTCCTGATGACTTTAACTTAGCTGTACTTTTAGTTGGTTAAGTTAGGTGAATTAAGCTAATGAATACAAACAGACAAGCACCTATTACTAAAGGATTTATTAAGCATTCATTAATATAAAAAAACTTTTGCCCAAGTTAGCTAAAGCTAATACGTCTAACTCTTAGTGGTCTCAGTTTACAGCACAATAGTACTTTAAAGGTCCAGTGAGTAGGATTTAGTGGCATCTAGTGGCAGATTGCAATTCCTTTGCCTCACCTTCCAAGCACAAAGGAGAAGCTACAGCAGCTGCACGATGAATGCCCACGGACTATCTAGAGCCAGTTTTTGGTTTGTGGGCGACTGTAGAAACATGGCGGTTCAACATGGAAGATGACCTGCAGGGTCTGTAGATATAAAAGGCTCAATCGAAGGTAACAAAAACAAATAAATCCATTATTTTCAGGTGATTATACATTAATGAAAACACATCTATGAGTTATATTCTGCCAGTAGATCCTCCTAAATGTTACACACTGGACCTTTAAAACACAACCACACATGTAGCATAAAAGCAACAATACGATGTGCTTTAAAAGATCACCAATGCACCTATTTATTTATTAAACAATAATAAACTCAACTCATTCTTCTCCCTTAATTCTGATTGTCTCTTTTCATCCTCTTTAGCTCTCTTGTCAAATCCAGTTTGAGGACAATAAGATTTTCAAGAGGGACTTCCACCTCTGGGGCGTGAGTACCTTCTGAGATTAGCTCACCTGTTGAAGTTATCCAAACCCTTTTGGAAGACTTTATGACGGCTGAAAGTGAAATCCTCTACATCCAACTCTTTTCTCTGACTTCTCTTACCTTCAGGTGATCAACGTCAAACAGAGCGTGGTCAACATGGTCCCATCCAAAGTGGAGGTCACCCTATGTAAGGCCGACCAGGTGGCCTGGGGCAAACTGGAGGACCCCAACTACAAACCCGAGCCCGAGCCCATAGAGGACAGCGTGGAAACCACAGAGTCGTTCCAGCCCGACTGGGACATCGACGACGACGACATCAGCGACTCGGACGAAGACTGGGCCTACGACAAGCCGGAGAATAAAAAGAAGCCGTGGGACGAGGAAGAGGAGCAGAAGAAGAATGAGGAAGAGATACAGAATTTAAAGAGGAAGGAGGTAGAGGAGGAGATGAAGAGAGCGATGGAGGAGAGGAAGAAGGCAGAGGAGGAGAGGAAGAAGCTGGAGGAGGAGAGAAGGCAGGAGGAAGCGGGAGAATTCGAAGACATGCCAGATCTCGAGTAACCGCTCCGATAAACGGTGTGAAGACCGGGTCTGGTTTTTATTAGCGAGGTAGAAAAAAAGTTTAAATTAAAATAGATTTTTTTGTAATGAAGCAAATTAAATTTTTATTTCTGAAATAATCAGAGTCAAACTTTATGTGTTGTTGCTACAAAGGAAATGTGGTAATTCACAACCACGTTTTAACTTTGGAGGTCCTTCTGGGGACGTTTTGGGAGGTTGATTCTCTTGAAGGGGTTACTAACATCACACACACTGGATCCCTTTATTTTTTATTTAATTATAATGCTTGAAATGAAGTGAGGTTTCTTCTTAAAATGAGAAGACACTCAGATACAGCTGGATGAAATAAAGACTTCTCTATGTCTGATTTTCTATCTTTTATGCCTCGCCTCTTCTTATGACTGTGTCTACAATGAACGACAGCTGAAATCAACACAGATAAATGGAGTGATCAATGCTATAGAGTTGTTATGCATCACACGTCCCACGCGCTTAAGCAGACAGATTAAGATTAATGATTCATTTAAAAGCCTAATGAATCATTTGAGTATCCACCAGTGTTATAGGCTGCAGCTGTAAACAAAACACTTAGCCTTTAGCTTATGATTCATGCTGGAATTGTATTTCCACGCATGGTTTTTCATTAATATAAGCCTATTGTACATCAGCAAACACAACCTACATTGTGTTAGTCACTGACCAGCTTTACTACAGGCAAAGAAGGATTGACACAGTATGTGGTGTAATTGTTTCTTTTTTTTTAAATCCGACACCAAAGATTTTAGTTTTAACACCTCAGTATGCTTCAAATTGAAGAGCTAAAGGTTGATTTATACTTGATGGGTTTAATGGAAGTCTTGCAGTGTCGATTTTGATTGCACTTAAGTGTTGCACTTTAACCGCTGATAGCAGAGCCAGTACACTAGACTGTATCGTGCTTTAAAAGGACCAGTGGGAAGGATTCAGTGACATCTAGAGGTGAAGTTGCAGACTGCAACCATTTGAATACAGCTCAGCCTTTCCAAGGTGAAGTACAGTGGCTAAAAAACTCGCTAAAAACGTGAAAGGCCTCATCTAAAGCCAGTGTTTGGTTTGTCTGTTCTGGGCTACTGTAGAAACATGGCAGACTCCGTAGAAGAGGAGCCGCTCCCTCTTTAGATAAAAACAGCTCATTCTAAAGTAACAAATTCTTATTTTCAGGTGATTAAACACAAATGAAAACAAAGTTATGAATATTATATTCAATTTCTTCCAATAGATCCTCCTAAATGTTACACACCGGACCTTTAACCTTTAATTTTTGCCTGCAACTTATCATACTCTATCCAGTGCAACTGCTTTTCCTACAATAAGCACTCTAGCGTGAGGGATTTTCATTACTTTCAGTACACACATGTGACAGGCTCCTATCCACATATTCCATATAAATTTAAGAAATTGTATCTCAGAACCTACCGGGAGCACAATCAAGTATTTGGAGGCTAACCCTAATCCTGACTTGAACCATCGATAAAAGTGTGATTTTTCATGTGATCCAAATACATTTTACTGTTACATACTTGCCCAAAGTACGTCGGTACCAAATTTAAAAACTTTAGACCAACCAGAACAAATGTTACGCCATCATACGAAATATAATCTTTGAAAGCAATTGGGTTAATTATACTTCTCATGGTAACTGTATTTATTGTCTTTTGTTTACTTTTTTACACTATTTTGTGATAGAGTGATGGTGATCTATGCATTTATAGAACTGGACTTTACTGATAAGGAAAGGTTTGCACCGGCGGTGTCAGTGTCAAGAACTGTGTTACCGTAAAGGCGAAGACAACTGAGTCGGACTCGTCAACTTCTCTATCAACTGGCATCGGAAACTTGTGGGAGAAAACAGAAGCAGCCACAGTTCTTGCAGTTCATACGTATATAGGATCTATAGCTTTACTACAACCCCTTAAAGCACAACTGTAAATCCAGCTTAAAAGTCTCTGAATCTCCCGTGTGAAAACTTTTAATGATTTTTCTAAACAGACGATCTATCAGACTTTATGCAGTGATTCGCAGTGGGCAAGAACTGGGTTTTTTATTCATTCTTTACTTTTTGTATGACTCCAGCACCAGAAATTCCCTTAAACGAGGTCTGAAAGTTTCCAAAAGTGCAGTTAAATCAAGTTAAGGCGACAAAATTCTCTTTCAGAGAGATTGAAGAGGGAGTACAATGCCTTTAAATGGGGCCAATCGAGAGCAGCTATAAAGACTTTTACCTTTAGACGTGGTCGGACAACGCGTTGCACGACCTAGTTCGTTTGAAGCATACTGAGTCCTTTACTATCTCTTCCCCTGCAAGGGAAAGAAAAACTGAAAGGCAGCAGGTCAACACGGGATGTGGGAACAACACAAAGGAAAATTTCAGCGCTTAACACCTGTAATTTACCGAACATCACTGACTAAAGGTATGGTCACGTCACATTTCCATGCTACAAGTTCACATTTGACTGTATTTGGAAAAGCTATTCTAGTGTGTTTCAGTATATTTTGTACATTATCACACACCATTTATTGTATATTTATGTATTTATGTATATTTTCGGGAATGAGTTCGGGGAAATTTTGTTAAATGAAAGTGTTTATTGTGACCAGACCTTGCATGCTGAAACTAATCTCAGTATGGGTAATCATCATCGACACATTACACCAAAGGACACAAGCTTTCACACTTCAATAATTCATTTAATCTCCAAAGGGTTGCGCTGACTTTGTCTTTGTTACACACTGCACACGATAACACAATAAAACACCTCGCAACGTACAAGGTCGTGCAACATCTAGTCTGGCTTCCAGCATTGCGCACACAGTCTTAATATATAGGCTGTTCAGATCAGGGGGGTGCGTTCACAAATGTTGTCTATGGAATACTGTTGCACAAACATGGTGGGGTGTTTGTAATCGGTGGGTTCGTTTCAGTTTCTCAGCTGTCATTTCTCTTATCAGCTCCATGTTGCTCCTTGGAAGAGTTTCAGTCAAAAAAAATTATGTTTTTACTGTTTTGAAAAAAATGACACTCACAAGAAATTAGAACAAAAAAAGTGATAAATTATGATGCTTTTAAAAGAACAAAATATATATAATCCTCGGTTAAAAGACCATTAAACATAGGCAACTTTTCTTTAAAACCTCAAAATGGATTCCACCAAATGTGTGTTACCCAAACTGGACATCTTTGTGTTCATTTTTCAGCACAACAAATGCTAATTAAAGCACAAGGTAGTCTCTCAGATGATGTTACAATTTCAGAATTATACACAAAAAGTTCACCCAAATATTGGCTAAACATAGGCTGAATATGACATCTTTTTTTGTGTGTAAACAATTCATTAGCAGTCTGTAATAACACTGGAGAATTCCAATAACTTTGGCTTACTTCAATATCGGCTAATTTTTTTTAGAATACTATCTCAATACCAATTGGTGTAACATTGGAAAGACATTTCCATGACATTGCTTTGCGGCAGTGGAATGACATATGAGCACATGTAATAAGATTGGCGTTAAATGGGAGATCTCAAGCTGCAGTGAGAGTAATTGTACAACCACTGATGTAATAAACATTTGTGTATACATCTTTATATATATATATATTTATCATTCTTTTACGTTTGGTTAGATATATTACATTTTATCAACACATTTTTGTCCGTACACATTTATCATAAATAAAAGATTTTTGTCATCAAATCAATTAAAAAAACACTCGTAAACACTCAGAAAAATCTTAAACACACACACGCACACATGCACACAAATGTCCTTTTTTCCCCATTAAGTTTGCTTCTTCGTAAAGTGCAAGGCAAGATACAGTAAACTTTGAAATGTACGACATACAACAACTTTCGCATCTGAAGCTCGCACACTTTCACACACACCTTGTATGTCTCGTATCCCACTGAACTCAGTACAAACTTGGCACGACACCACTAAAGCCTCTAAGGTGTAGAGCGTATAGCTGGCACACTATGGATACAGTAGCACAATCCTACCAGAGCTGGACATCTACAACGCCTCACAGTAACTCTGCTCTATCGAGGGATAGCTTGGGTTGGTTCCATAAACGTGTAAATAACTGAGAGAATCAAGAACCAACCCTTTACGTAAGTGGGAAAAAGCACAGAAATGATACTTTACAAGTTTACAGCCTTGCTTGTGGATGTAATATCCAAACTTCTCGATCAGACCTGAGTCAAAGTGTCGGCACGCTCATGTTTTGTCCCTTTTTTTTTTTTTTTTCTTTGAAAGTGGTGGAGTTGCATCACGACAAATCCACTTTCAGCAAGTCGTGTATCATGAAAAGAAATACTTTTCTGTGGTTCTTCATAATGCCTTTACATGATGTTAGTTAACTCCACCTATGGGACTCCGCACAGCTTCCGGACATTTCTAGCAAATATTTGACTCAGATTTAATCTCGACTAGTGAACATTACTTCTCGATTACATCCTGGCCATTTAAACTTTTAAAGTAATACTCTGACATTTTAAGAAACTCACATTTTTGCTGTTTTAGGGTTGGATGAGAAGAGCCTAGCTCAGGCCAAACCAAAGGAAACAGCTAGCTTAGTTAAATCAAACCTCTAACAAGTACAAAGTTATCCACTGTATCTGTATATTTAACACTTTTAGTAAAAGAATATGCTGTTTAATAAGTAACTGGCTTTCACATTGGAGCTTTTTCTTAACTGGATTGTAGCCTCATTATAGGAAAATTGCTAGCTTCAAACTTTTCCGTAACCCAAAAAAAAATCTCTAGGACTTCTTGGTAACTAATTTGCAAGCTTATAAGATGTAAATAACGTTTTGGGAGTTGCTGGAAGGCGTATTTTACTTTTGATGGTTCCAGTTTTTTTGCTTTGCTAAGCTAAGCATGCCTCAGAGCTATTTCTGTGCCTTTACTGAGTGGACATAGGTGAAAAAGATGTTAATCTTCTGCAGTAACACAGCAAAAATGTGAATTTCCCGAAATGTCTGACCATTCTTTCCAAGAACATTACTGTAAAACCTGGGTAGAAGTTGCCTCTAGAACTCGTGAACATTGATATTTAAGCTATTTCCGAACAGCAGCACACGCATCCAAGATTTCATGTACTTGCTTTGGCCGTAGCTCGGTCAAATAATGATGTAAATGAAATGTTGTGGTTTGTTATAACCTGCTTGGAAAACCCTGTGGATAGACAGGGTGTAAATCAGTACACTCTCTTTAAGTTTGGACAACACAGTAAAGTATTTGACATTTAAGTGTGGTTTTTTTTTTTGGCAGAATAAGTGTTCTCTCGCGGTAAAACCCAGACCATCTGGTGCAGCAAGCAGGTTAAAACAAAAAAAAAAGTATTCGCAAATGCTGCTGGTTGGAACAAACAAGCTAAAAATCACTATTTTGAGGCAACTTCAGCCCTCACTGTGAGGCGAAGGAAGGCTAAGTATGCATGCAGGGACACACAGAACAGCATTAATTGGCTTCGATTATATGCACAGTGGCCAAGGAGTTTGTCAAAGGGGGAAGCAGCAAAGCCAGGACAGCTTCACAGATTACCATTGGGAAAATAAGATATACAAAAAAATAGATATATATTTGTACTAATAATAATAATAATAATGATGATAATAATAGCTTTTATCCACGGACAAGGCAAACTCAAATATCAACTCTTATTCTTATATTACATATACAATCAGGAGAATGGCAAAGTAGGAGTAATATACTGAGTCGCTGTAATGTTTTGTTAATGTGTCCTTGATGCTTCCTCCTTCTGTAAACACCTTCACCATACACTGCTAAAAAAAACTTATTGAGTCATTTCATCTGGTACTGTATCTCAAAATTCAAACAAGTGGAATAAAAAAAACAAAAAAAAAGTGCCGTGGGATGAATTTATTTTTTTTGACTCCCACATAAGTCACATTTTAGACCTTGATAATAACTGAGCGATGTACCGTGCTTCAAATCCCACAGTTGGATCTTTTCAGAAAAGGCTGGATTCCAGATGAAATGACTCATCATAAAAGAGCATTATTTTTGCAGCGTGGCTGCATAGCCTCGGATCACACAAGTCAGACAACAGCCTATTAAGAACCACTTTAGAACCACAACAGTAGAACCTTTGTGAAATCTTATATAATTTATCATTTAACATTATCATTATTCACAGGTTAATACAAGTCCACACAAGTACATTCCTCAGTACATTTTTTGCAACATTTAAGATATCCCCCCAGTTCAGTAGACGATAAGGTTGAGATGTTTCAGGTTGTTCATTTTGTTGATTTGTTGCCGTTTGAAGTTCTCATGGCAGTAGCAACAACAAATAAATACTCTTCGAAAGTCTTGAGAAAAATCAAAAGTCTAAAGGCTATTCGTAAGTTCAGAAATAAAACGACTTAAGTTAGAGAGAAAAGAATTAAAAGACTGTAACAACTTAAGATAGATATAAAATAAGATGGCTGCACTCGACATGCGAGGAGATCACCACGTAAACACAATTCTTTGTCCAAAACAAAAACAACCAAAAAAAGTTTGCGAGAACATTTTGATTCCACGCCTCCCTTTGTCCACTGTTTGATTCGCTGCTGGCCAAGGCAACTTCCTAACTCAAGCAGGTAAACAGAACCAAAAGCAGAATGCCAGTGGTGAAGCAATGCAATGCAAAGCCAGGCCCCTTACGTTAAAACGATAAATAATAAAAAAACAGAAGAAATAAAACTCCTCCCTGCGAAATGGAGGATAAAGAAGTTAGACAGGGAGGAAATGGCATAAATGTTGGGAAGATGGTTTTCCTTTTCTCCCTCACACCTCTGTCAGGCCACTGGGTATCGTGATTAGGAGGGGAGAAGAACAGGAGGGGTGCTCCTCACCCCTGGTTGTTACGGGTGGGGCAGTAATAAAGCACCTCCTGCAGGACTTCAGTTCCCCGAAGAATCTGCCTCACCGGCCCCACCTTTGATATCCCAAGTTCCTGCAAAAGAGAGAGAAAAAGAGAGAGAGAGAGAGAGAGAGAGAGAGAGAGAGAGAGAGAGAGAGAGAGAGAGAAACTAAATTAAAATGACAAAGTATGCATGTCTTTCTTTGTCGACAATAAATAAATAAACATTACCAATATGCCAAAAAATGCTGATACAGATGCTGCAGATGTGGGTTAAATCTTGAAGCGTAGCAGCTGTAGACCTTCCCAAAATGAATGGATTAACATTTGAACCAAGACCGGCTGCCTAAATCTTCATCAGTAGGTGCACAAAGAGACACAAAACACCTTCAAAGATCCGCTCTGATTAATGGAAACTGTTAGCTACCAACCCTATTCCGACCCTTGACCATAACCCTAAGCTATATGGAACTTATATGGCTCTGAGACACGGTTTCACAACACAACTGAGAAGTGGATCAGGCTCCATAAAGTGTAAATATCAATCACAAATTCCTGGAACAGCTGTGAACCAGATCCCCACAAATCGGATCAGATCCTTAGCTGTTTCTCTTTCTAGCCAAAGAGAACTGATATGGCTTGCATATTGTTTCCTTGAGGCGTGATTGCAGAACATGATGACGAGTTTTTGACATTTGGCATATGGGCTCTATATCCGTTACTATCCATAAATAAATGACTGGATCGGGCTCAGAACATCCTGAGCTGAAATGTCCCTTCTCGTTCTAGACAAAGGGAACTTGTATGGTTTGCATACTGTGTCTCTAAGGCACGATGCCACATGGTGGAGTTTTTGACAGCTGGCATACCTCTGGCAAACAATCAATCTGATGTCTGAATCAGTTAGGGACTTCCTTCAGATGAACTATAGTTTCTCCTTCAAGACAAAGGAAACTAAATATCAGTCCCTAGATTTTCTAATGCAATGAGTTTTTGTAGGTTTCTTTAATTCATTAAACATGTATGTTGTTCCAGTGAGAATACTATGATTGGTGAAACTCACAGGAAGCTACAGGGATTCATAAAATCTGAAAAGGTTGTGCAGAATTCACAGGGATTGGCTGAAATATGGCTGTCATACTGTGGCTCTGAGCCATGGTTGCGTATCTGATGACGTAAGCTTTGCATCAGGGCTTTGTCCCGATCTCTTACCTGAGAGAGAGCTGTTGGACTTCTGCTTGTGGAGCTTCTCTCTCTCCTTCTTCACCTTGGGTATGATCTTCAGCTTCATACTGCTGCTGCTCTTACTGCTGCTCCTCACTGAGTCCTAAAAAAAGAGGCGCAGATCGTTGGGAACAGGAGGATTTTGAGACTGGGTTGTCAGAAAGGGCAGATGGGCTGCTACTAGTTAGAACTGAGCAATGACACAGTGGCACCTGGTTGGTTGTTAGACTGTGATAATACAATGGATTTCCTCTCACACACAGACAAACACAGACTGAATTCAAACCCCTACCTCCTCTGAACACTGCATGAGCGGACAGATCCAGTGGATGTCGTCCAGCTTGTGGAGCTCGGCACTGAGGCTGTTCAAAGTCGACCGAAGCTCTTCTTCCTCGGGAGAATCCGACTGTGGAGGATGAGGGGCGGGATGTCAGTGTAATATCTATTTATTTCTTAACTGCGACTTCTGGTCCTGGTGTGATATTTGATCATGGGGATGGATCACAATGTACAATAGCGTGCCTGAAGACATTTTTGGAAAATATCCTCCATCTGTGAATCTGAATCTGTGAATGCTAAATGCTAACATCTGCTTTGTGTTCCCCGCCATCTGAAGATGATGTACATTTTGACACCCTACGTATATCATGCAAATTCACCGATTTGTAAACAGTAAACATCTGTTAACCTGTAATTCTGTCAACAGTTGGGGCGTACTGCAAATTCTTTCAAACTGAAAGCGATTTACATATTATGCTAATACATTCTGTTTGCCGCCTTATTTATCTGCGTCTAATCATCACAGTTTCATTTCATCTTATCTCTCTCATTGCAAGTGAGTTTGACTGCTTGAAGTTCATCATTTCAATGTCATGTCAGAATTACGTAGGATTAAATTAGCAAAAGTCTGAAAAAGGTTGTAAACATTTCAAAAGTGAGGCGGATAAAAAGCGAAGCAGAAAAACAGCAGATAAGAAGAAAACAGAGAGGGAGGTGAATTTAGATAGAAATTAAAGTACGTCCCCAGCATTGTTGTAATCATCGTTGTCATGTCATGGTTGCAGGAGTGCTGTTAATATATTTGCTCTTCAGCACAAAGGGCTATTGTGACATAAGGTAAATGTCCTCACAGGGAAAATTAAGCAATAGCAAACAAATCTTGAGCAAAAGACAATGAACAGACAGAAAGCGAAATGTGAGACGCCAAGGCTTGAATGGGCTTCAGTGGAGACGGAGAGAGACCGCGGAGGGGAAGAGAATAGGCGAGGGAAACAAAATAACACAGAGGAGACGTGGATGAAATTGTAGAGTTGTACCAGTAGTTTTCCATCCAGCAGCATCTTGGTCTCAGCCTGGAGAACTTTACTGCTGTTGACAATTTCCACCGCCGTGCTGCGACTTAGACACTGAAAATACAAATGATTGTTCAACATTGAGGTCACCCTGACCCAATAATAAAATGTGCAATGTAAAGCTGAGGATACAGGTGATACACATGTCTACTTTGTTTCATTAAAATATCAGAACAAGTAATTTATTATAAAAAAAAATGTCTATGCTTTATTTATTGCAGTCAGTATGCCTCAAAAACTTACTCCCATTTCTCAGTGTTTAATATTTGCACTTAGACTTTTGATGTTTGGTTTTACTACAACAGGGAACTCCTAACAGATGCACCAGTTTACAAAAATCCCAAAATGTAGAAGTTTATGTACATGCAACTTGCAATACAAGATAGGATTCTGCAGACTGTACTGTTACAAAGACGCTTAAATAAAGTGAACATTGTATGGAGGCCCAAAGGGTCCAATATGAGATGAATTATAAGATCCCATGAACAATTCTGTGACCAATTAAAGCAAATATTTAGAACAGCTGTCAAATAATACATTTTTATTTATTATTTCTATTCTTTGTGCCAAATCTGTGTTTATTTCACAATGCCACTTTTCCCAATGGCCGTCTATTTATTAATATCACTATGTCAATGATGCGTTTCAGATTAACAGGCTGCAGAATTAACAGCCTGTAAACTGACATGAGACCCAGGCGTATTGCTAAAAATCTGTATGCTTTACTCCTCCATTTCATCAATCAAATCAGCCATATGTCCATCCATCTGTCTCCCTCTCCTACTCCTCGGTGTCTTACCTCAGGGCTGGACAGTTTGGCCTCTGTGAGCACCAGGGCGGTGGCGTTGACGGCGTGAGCCAACTCTTGCTCCACCAGCTTGTGGGTCTTGGCTGCCTCGCGGATCCTGGGGAGGACGAGGGAGGAAATCATCGACTTGAAAGAGCTGTAATTATTATTTCAACAAGCTGAAAGGGCACAATTATGATGATTACTCCAACAAGTTGTCTCTTTCTGCATCTCTGAGTTCAGTTTGTAGATGTTTGGATTCAAAACTTTGCCAAGATTTTGACCTGTGAATGACAAAGCTTAATTAAATTAAAATTAAGCCCTCCATACATTTCCTTGTTGACACTCAAATTGCTTAGGTTTTCTCACTGAAACTTAATCAATGTAAGTCTTTTCAACTTGGTAATATGTGGAAAATCACACACTGCACACCCTTTATTGTGCTCTCAAACTGTCCATATCAAATATCTTCCCATCCATTCTCCGCGACCACAAGAAATCCCCTTTATGACCGTTTCTCAGCTTCTGAGATAGGTTTACAAATGTAATTAAGATATTCATCATCCTGAAAGGGGGATTTGGTTTTGTAAACATCATTGAGAAGATTATAATAAACCAGTCAAACTGAGAAGTCCTCAGAGGGACAAAAATGGTTTATAAGTGCGAAGAAGAGAAATAAAATGGCTCATCAGTGCAACAGAGAAAAACTTAGCAAATAAGCGAGCTAATTGCGGTGGGAAGCACAAATCCCAAAATGTAGAGCAAAATTCCCCCTTGACCCTTCTTAACACAAAAACACACAAATGTTAATTATCAAACAGGAAGGTTGCTGATAAGCTTGTATTAGAGGCCTTTATGCAAGACCAACAGAGTGTAGATCACACAGCGAAAAACTCAAACTATGTATGAGTACCACTCATGGTAAGCTGCCTCTAGTGGTATGCAGAGGAAAATGAAATAAATACATTTAAAGGACATATAATGCAATGAATATACTACAAATCTTTGAATGACAATACTTAAAATATGAGATTGCTGAAATTTCCTGTGATATTTTTGTTTCAATATTAGCCTCCGTTTACGCATACATCCATGATTAGTTAGAAGCTAAAAATGTGCTAGGAAGATAGTAAGCGAAGGTAAAATGGTTTAAAATCACTGCAACAGTAGCTCCAAACAGCAACTATTAGGAACAGGAGTGTGGACCAGGGGGCCGCCCTTTTCCACCAAATTAGGTTCCGTTCAAGATTCAACAAGTCGAGAATAAATAATCTTCTCCTTCGTGAACTGTCCATCGCTGAGTAGAGTCGGGCCTATGCTACTGTATTCATCAGTCATAAAGGTGGTACTTGGAAAGCCTACCTGGTGTAAGAGGTTTAAAAAAGCTTTCCTCAAGGATTTTGAAAGGTTTGTTGGGTTCAAAAAGCGTCTTTAGAAGTTAAAATATGACACTTGAGGTTTTGAGGTCCGAAACATCAACCGAGGGTCTTTAAATGTTTTCTCCAGCTGTCAAAATGTCTTCAAACTTCAACCTGCTTCCTGTACACGCTACAGAAAACATGAAGTGCTTCTTACTTATTGATGAGGGTGTCGGCCACGATGCCCAGCTGCTGAACCTGAGCGCACTCCTCCTCAGTCAGGTACTCCATGGACTGCTGGGAGTTAAGGCGGGGCCTGCTGTCACGGTAGCTGTCGATCTTCCTCTTATCCTCCCATGACTTAAGCGTGCTCTCGAACGCCTGGTTGTACAAAAACGGCAAGGAATTAGGCCCAAGTCACCCGGAGACTCGTGTGTTTGTTCCTTTTCGACACTGAGACAAGCACATATGGTTCAGTCCGTACTTTAAAATACGAAAACGCAATCGAATTCTGATTAAAGGTGGTTCTTAAGGTATTGTGTGCTTGTGTTGATATAAACTGAAAACTCAAGGTAGCAATCAGAATGAGGACACAAGAATATACAGAAGAGGTTCCAGTATAAACAGTTTTTTACTTTTTTACCTCATGCCTGACTGAGATACACGAGGAAAAAACTATATTTTTATTTGTAAATCTGAGCCAACTGAGGGGGAAAAAAGCAAAACAAGGAAAAACAGACAGAAAAGGTTGTTTTATTACATCCAGATATGAATTTAATTTAACACTGTCAATAAACATCCCTCAACCGGGCATCCAGCAGGGACGACGCTCACCTGAAACATTACTGTCACCATTTGACTGAATAAAAGCCACATTTAGGAGGATAAAACCAGTGAGCCAACATTCTTCTCTCTCTCTGCTGTACTTAAGGAGGGAAACCATGGAAACAAACTGCCCAAATGTGCTTGGCTCAAGAGAGCTCTCAAAGGTTTGAGCAGCGTGAAGAGAGAACAAACACAGTGGGTATGAATTTGATTTAAGAAATCCCAAAATAGAAAGAGTCAACAACATGGGTAGAGAGCTGAAGCTGGAGAGCCGAGAGTGGATTTTTAAGCTGCAATATTTATAAAAGGAAGAGTATTTCAAGCCAATACTGCTGTTTTACATATACATACAGTGTTTTTAAAGCATTTCTATACAGTGAAAACTAGATGTATTCAGTAGAAATCATGAGCAACATTTAAATGTTCTGGCTATATTATTCAGCAGATAATTCATATTCAAGTTGGACATTACTCTGTCTCTGGTGAGCATCTGTGCTCGGTTCTTGTGGTTGATCTTGACGATGCCAGGCGGCTGAATCCAGGCCTCTCCGTCCACCTGCACAGGGACCCCCTCCTCCCCGAGGATGGTGATCTTCACCTGGCGGCACTGAGACGCAACAGAGAAGAAAACAGCAGCTGTCAGACGAGACTTGTTCTTTTTTTTCCTTTCAAGCATAGAGTGCTTTTTTTTTAAATGCTTGACCTCATCTGTCCTCTGCTGTTGGACATTGAGCGTGTGATCCTGTCAAACCGGCACCTTTAAAAGCTACAGGAATAGCGCCAGCGGATTTTATTTTATCACATTAGATATCCGTACTCTCTGTGTTAAAATGCTCGATGGGCCAAAGACATATAAGGCTGATCTATTTTGTTCCATCCCCCAAATGGTTCCCTTTTTCTAAGCTGTCAAACTGTTATCTCCTGTTCTGACATTCTGTTTTAATCAAAGAATTATCAAATTAAAGTACAAAAACGCCACTGAAATACTGTCCTTGTGAAAGGGAAATGTTTCTCATTGACATCAGGTTTAGAATATTAAAACAAACTCCAGTACATCTGTCTTTGTGTACAGCTGCTAACCCCTGCACAACTTACTCAAGGTTGTTTGTTGTTTTGCAATCCAAGCATTTAAGTGCTTTCATTTAATGGTGAAGTTATTTTTAATCACTTAAACTGAAATGAGAGTAAGAGTCTACAGCTATACTAGCATCTCTGCGAGGCTGTACTTACATTCTGTTGATGTTTAGCAATTTAACATATTCACAATCTTAGTTTAACGTGTTAGCATGCTAACATCTGCTAATTAGCACTACACAAGTACAGCTGGGGCTGATGGTAACGTGATTAGTTTGAACCAAAGTACTGAACAAAAGAACGTCTAATATTTTCAATAAACTGGATGTGATGAAACCATTTGAGACTGTAACTGTGATTCTAAATGTGTGTCCATTATGAGAAGGAGTGTGTGTTGTGTGTTACCTGTGCAATGCGGTGGTGCTGCAGGTTGATGACTCTGGACATGGCCATCTGCATGCTGCCAAACACCGCCACCACCTCCAACTTCTTATCGTCAAATGACGGAGCGCCAAAGTTCTGAACAAAGGAGATGAGAGCAATCTGTCACCTTCAAATGTGTCCGTTAAACATAACTGAAACTGATGTTAAATGAAGCTGTGCAGCTTTTACATGAAAGAAAAGGTATTTCTTGGAGGTGTAGATGCACTCTATGCTTCTCCTTTCACTACACTCACATTATCCTCCTTGGTTCCTCCCCAGAAGTTGATACCGCCTGCATAGCTGGGGATGTTGAGCACAGCCAAGCCCTGCAGACTCGGCAGAGACATGGGAACGCCGTCACACTGAAGACAGAGAGAGGAGAGGAAGTTATAAAAGAAGAAAAACACAGGATGCTAGAGGAAAACAGCTGATAGCATTTTGTTTCCCAAAACATGGGTGTGTCTGACCTCTAGCTGAACTCGCTGCTCCAGGTTCTTGTACGTCTTCTGAACCAGCTCTTTAGTCCCTAGCACTCCGTACCACATCATGTTCTTGGTGCGACTGCTGCAGGAGGAGACGGGAGGAAGAAACCAATCAACACTGGTTTTGTTTCATCAGAATCAAACTTTGTTGACCAAATTAAACTATGTCCTCGTGGTTTTCAACATAGAAACACTTCTCCTACAGAATGTAAGAATCATGTTTCTTTACGATATGGTCTCCAATTTGAATTATTTGCAGTCAAAGATGCAACATGTTGTGAACAACATACAGCACCCCAGTTGTCAAATTAAGTCAAACATTGACCCAAAATCCAAAAGTTAATTAATTTAATATCCGATGTCTGCATATATTCATATCTCACTGCACTGTAACTGTGCTATAATTTTTAATCCCCATGTTTAATCTGTCTTGTTCTATTTTAGCATATTTTTTATCTTCCATCTTAATTTACTTGTTTTCCTGTTTATATGTCTTTTTATATTGTCTTCTGTTTCTTTTAGATCTTGTCTTACTGCCTTTTATGTCTTATGTAAAGCACATTTACATGACCTTGTTGCTGAAAGGTGCAAAAGGTGATCTTTATTACTCTCCAATAACATGAGTAGTTACCAATGATCTGCACTCTCACGGTACTTGACACAGATGTCCCATTAACAATGTGTTGTTTGTTCTGGCTATTGAACCCTCAACACAATCAGGATATGGAGATCAGCTTTCTTTATATGCAGATGATTTGCTGCTGTATGTGTCTGACCCTGTTTCATGTATAATCAGTATTATTGAGAATGTATTGTATCACTTAAGTACTATTCTAAATGTGTGTTTGAAGAATACTACATCAGTGCTGATCTTGGGTGGAGAAACACTAAACAGGAAATAATACAGTTTTACAGTTGCAGCACTACAATTTGTTGTTGGCAAAGAGAGCTGTTGAGTTACATGATTTATTAAAATTCTCTGTGAACAGATTATAATTAGTTTTTTGTGTTCATACCTGCATTTTTTAGGGTGCTCATCTCTCTTGTTGTTGAACTCAAGGGAAATCTTGGCATCCAGGCCGATGCCAAAGTAGTTGTTCATTACACACTTCTCTGAGCATTGACTAAAAATACAGAAAATACGTAGATTGTTTGTCAAAATGATAATACAAGAGCACATTAGTGAGCCACAGCTGGTATGTGAAGGACACGGATGTACAAAAACTTACACGGTGTCCTCACTGAAGGTGACTGTGTTGAGGCTCTCTGGTTTCTCAAGGACAATGGGGGAGGTGGGACTTAAGCTTCCTTGACCTGAGGAGCACAATTTGTCCAAAAATAATGGTTTCATTTTAAAATTGGAACTATCAGTGTTTTTTAAAAACAAAGAAAAAAAAGTCATTCTTGAAAGAATGAGTCGCCTTCAAACCCTTTCTGACAAATTGCAGTGGTAAGAGTTTTTAAAATATTGATGTATTTTGGAGTATGTCCCTTCTCCTCATATCCTTGCTGAAATCAAACCAAAGGGACACTTACGTGGCTCAGCATCCTTCAGCTCCTCGCTGTTTTCTCTTTTGATGGAGGACGAGGACGACATCCTCTGGACCTGCGTGTGTCGGTTCTGCTCGTCCACCACTGAAAAGATGACATCAGTGAACTTAATGCAGCACAAATCAAGGCACGATTGTGTCAAAATGATACCAAAAGAAACATGGAGGAATAGTGAGACAAGGAACACAATAAATGTCTAGCTGTTAACGGAGTGGCCCTCATCCTACCTTTCTCAGCCTGTTCGATGATCTGTCTGAGTGCTTTCTTCAGGCTGTTGGCCCTGAGCATCAGCTGCTCCTTGGAACGGTACGTTTTACCCTCTGAACCTGACTCTCCGCCACTTTCTCCAGGGCTTGAGCTGCCACTCTCCTGGCTGGGTACCGAACCTGCTGGCACCACCTGGATATGGCACGAAAAAGAAAAGGAAACATCCTCTTGCTGTAAAATACATCCTTAAGTGATCTTTCCCCTGTGAGATTATCTCCTCATTCATACATTTTTACTGTTCCTGCTCTGTGGAACCTCATAGTAGTGCAACATCTCCTGTCTCCCTCATATTTCTGGCAAATAAATCCATATTTTATTTATCAAATATGAAAGGATGCTTGATGCAAAGATAAAATTCAGTGCCTTTCCCCTTTTATTGAGCGGGAGGTTGAAATCATACTGACATTTTGAGGGCTGTGTTATTTCTTTTAAAGGACCGACATCAATCTGTGAATAAAAGACTCCAAAGGGAGCAGAGACACAAAAAGCTAAACACGGTTTTGTTTTTTAGCTCCTGTGAGGACACTTAAGATGCTGAAAGAACCATCATTGCTTTTACTACTACTCCTACAAAGGTTGAATCAGGGGGATTTACTCTCAACTCTCTCTCTCTCTGATGTTGCAACTGAGGAGAAACACTTTATATCCTCCCTGAGCTAACAACAGTATCTCAGAAATATGGTGCGTTACTCTTCTTTTCAACTTTAGCTTTATCGTTACCCCACTAAGTGGATAGCTGAAACTGACATTTTGTGCCTATTACTTAATAACAAAGCACAGTCAACCAATGATTCCACATCAAAATATCATATTTTTAAAGTACATAGTATTTAACTGGTAAAATGCTAAGGTAATAAGTTGTTAATCCTCTTGTGACCCCAGAGGGATCCTGACCCACAGGTTGGGAACCACTGTCATAGACAACCATACTAATACTGCTCAGTTTAACAGTAAATATAGAGGTTTTCATCCAGTTCAAATCTCATTTTGGAAGACTAATACATTTGGACCGTTTTGTGATTTTTTTTATCAAGCTACACTGATTGCTATGATTATTTCATATTGATTATAATTGGCAGTGTTATTACCTGGGCCTCAGCTTCCTCACTTAAGGCCTTCACGAGGGAATCGAGCTTCTCGTTCAGCAGTGCACACTGGGAGAAGAGACAGAAATAGGTTTTTTATTGTTTATACAGCTTACTTGAAAATCTTATAGGGGAGTGTAAATTGGGAGATACAGTACTGATCAATGCTGGGCAGAAGTTCCTAAATTTGTGCAACTGCAGTAACACCTTCAAACCAGAGTGAAATCAATACCTTTACAGCACACAGAGGTCTTTTATTTGCAGACGCAATAGGTGAATTTCCCTTCGGGCAACAATAAAGCTTCACATTATTTGGATAAAGAGAGATAAGCTGGACGGAGCTCAAAGCGCTCTGACAGGAAGGTTTGGATGAAAGCTCGAGACGCTTCTGTCAGGCGAAAAGATTTTCTCTTTTTGGAAATGTCTCACAAACACCTTCTTTTAAGAAAAATATTTGGCAATCCACTCTTTTTCTCAGCATGATTTTCGTTGTAGTTTCAGCTTTACTGTTGGAAAATCATCTTTTTCCTCACTGTTTGACAGTATTACATATATGTTCTGCATAAGCTTGTTCTATAAACCATATGTTCTTTACACTAAAGAAGAGTAAAATATTCAAACCTAGTGACTCAATTTCCACCAAATTCATCCTGACATATTTCTTACCTTTGGAAACTCAAGATCTCCATTACATCTCCATTTAGAAAAACTGTACACATTTCTTTAAGAGTCTACATTAAATCCAAAAACACTCCTGGAATAAGCTGTTACAGAACTGTCTAGTTCCACTGACATGTCAAACTGATGTCTATATTACCTAACTTGTTAAGAAAATGAAAATAGAAGACACACCTAGCTCTAACTTTGAGACAGTTACTTGTCTGTATATAAAAAGGAGTGAAGACAAGGTTTCAGGTGAGTTTTTTCTTCATTGAAGTGGCAGTATTTCAGCTAGAAGAGTGACTTTAACCTACTTTTCCAACTCTGTTACAAAACACATCCACACCTCTTTAATACTCATATTCCTTCCAGCTACAGTTGTTCTTTAAACTGCCTTGATATAATGTGTCAAATATTTGAGTAGATAGAATATATGGACTACTAGAGGGAATGATGAACCTTCAACTATTTCTGTCAAACTCTATTATACACACAGAGACACACACAAACACACCTACACTGCCCACTAGTTACTGTTATACAAGCTCTTACATAATACATACGATTACACACAAAAACCATTTACCTTCTTTGCCATGGCATCTGCCTCCTCCTTGTTCTCTGTGGCTCTCTCGTACGCCTTCCCCACCTCCGCCACAAAATCATTCACCGTCCCACACAGAAACCTGACGGGGAGGTGGAGAGAGAGACAGAGAGAGAAAGCGCACAATAAGAGAGAGAGAGAGAAAGGAGAGGGGAATGGTTAACATGATTAACGTTGAAAATGTAACAAATTAGCAGGTGAACACATTTCAGATTTGGTGATTCACTGTGCAGTGTTTGAAGATTACACACACACACACACACACACACACACACACACACACACACACGCACACACACACACACACACTCTATGGTTTCATCGCCGCCTACCTGCCTGTCAGCTACGGCGCCTCCACACAGTCACTATTTACTCACAGCTGTTACATTGCTGCTGTATGACTCAGCAGGGAGGTTTTCTCCAAACTCACACAGTCCTCGTGCATTTAGCAAATATTGGATCCTGTCAAATTAATATTGCCGCAGAAACACACACGCTCCTCATTTAAGAGTCGGCAAAGTTTTATTCCCAAATTAGATATCTGGAAATTACGGATGTGTGATAGTGCGCCCTTTTAACTAAGTTATGGTAGGTTTCTGTGTTCACAAAGTGCTGCTGAATATTGTGCAAATGTCCTGTCAACTTGAGGTGGGAGGAAATGGCAGAAGTGGAAATTAATCAATCATTTCTCAACAGCTGCAGGCAGCAGGGTATTGTTAGAAAAGTATGATTGCACAATGCAAGGACATTTTGGTTTGGTTGCAAACTTACAATGTTGCCTCTGAAAACATTTCATTTTGCAACTTACTGCGCACCTGAATTAAAGATTTTCACTGCTGCATATCATAAAAAAGGGCAGTAATTCTTTTACCCCTTCTGGCCTCCAGCACTAGTGCCTTATTGAATAATGTTAAAAAAGAGGCCTCTAACCTGGGTGTAATGTTTATGATGCTCAAGTGATTCATCTAGTGAAGTCCTGCTTAGTCCAGCTGAGACATTTAACCAAGATCAGGGCATTTCTTTTAATCTGCAGGCCTAGAAAAGGTCATCCATGCTTTTATTTCCTCCAGAATCGACTACTTTTTCTGGTATCAGCAGGCGAAACATCCATAGACTGAAACAAAAAAGATGCAGCTTTTTTGCTCTAAGAGGCAAAAAAAACACACATCACACTGATCCTTTTAAGATGTTAGTGCTTGTTTTTAGTGTTGTTAAGTTTTGTACATGCTTGAAGAATAAAAGTCTGACTGCTTTCTTTCTTATTAACAGCATTTACTTGTACTTTTACTTTCAACACATAACAACATTTGATATTAGAACATTGCTTACAGTAAATATCAGACACTTTTACTCAGTTAATATTAAGGTGACCAAAGGCCTTTTCTGGTAGATATCTGAACTTTTACTCATACTTGGCTTTCAGGTACTTCATCCATCACTGGCAATTACCAGAGTCTCTGATATTAAAAGTCTTTTTGTCCTCAAACTCCTGAGTAGTTGACAAATTACACTTATATAATGAAAAAGTAAGCATGAGAAAAGTGTCGGACTGAACTTGCTGATCCTAGTGGAATCATAAAGTTAAATTTTTATGTTATTCTGCGCTTTAACTGATTTCTATCACATGCCGAGTGTTTCTCTTGACCCCTGGCTGACTGAAATCTGTTAAAATTCCACCATGTGAGTCCAAAAAAGGAAAAGACACATTTTCTTTGTCCGTCAACACTGGTGTTATGTTTCCATGAAAATGTGCTTTTAGTGTGGTCCTTAGATCCCAGAGGTGTTTTAAATGTGCTGCAGGTTTCCACTACAATCAGCAGCAGTTTAAAACACACAGAGCGGTGGAGGAAAGTGCCCTGTAATGGCCGCTAGACTGTTCCCAAAGGAAGACTACTAATGTACTAATGCACTAAGGATGACCCCTAAATACTGATTCATCGGTCTGTTTCACTTACAGCCGGGCAGCACTTATAGTCCATCCTCCGTGTGTGTGTATGTGTGACAGTGTGTGTGTGTGTCCTAAGGGAGGAGACCGAAGCAGAAAAAATCAATACCCATTGACCAAACCCACTGCCTCTGTCTCTCCCGCCATCTTTATTCTCATCTTCCCTAACGTCCCACCCTCCACCTACTTTCTCCTCCCTTCTACTTTGATCTCTTCTCCCCGTCCCTGTTTTTTTCCGAAACAAGCGACACATACTTGGCAGAAGAAATGACGTCACTGTGTTTGTCCGAGTCCAGGATCTTGGCGAGGTGGGAGGCCACGGAGTCTGCATACTGAGTGATGTGGACCTGAGAGGAAGAGAGAGACTTCAGACAAAGAAAATGGTGGAGGTTTATTGTGGGACTACTTTTTCTGAAAAGGTCCAGTAAGTTATCGTGTAGGAATTTTACTCTTTTTAAGTTGGTCTTGCCATTTTGTAGATTTATCAAAATCAAGATTTCTGCCTTTTGTATGGCAAAATTCATGATCTTTAATGAGGTTTAAATACAATCTATGGTTTGATAAGGGGAGTTTTAGGATGAGACAGAGGAGGAATGCACAAATATTTGACATGATAGTCTTCATCTACTTGATAATAAGATTTAAAATAAGCCAAGAAACCCCAAAACATTTAGTACTGAATATCTTAAATTTCATGTTAAATGAATGTACCCAGGACGAAAAGGCTTCGTTGCATTGTTTAGTAGAGCAGAAATCTGTTTTGTCTCTTTTTCTGGGGTTTTCTGACCTCCATTATTTATAAATGTGTTGTACTGGTAGGTTTGTGTTTTTCAGATCCAGTTTATGTGCAAAAAACATGTGTATGTGGTTCATTCAGGCATTTCTTAACTTTTCAATCATGACTTTAGAAATATAATCAAATTTAAAACCTTTGAGAAATGCAATTTTTAACTAAACCCATCTGAAAACGTCACCCGGAGGATCAAGTGCTTCTATAAAAGACAAAGTCAATGTAGCATCTTCTATGTACTTTTTACTGAAAGCTGCTTTGTGCTTTTGCCAGGCTTATTGCTGTCACTGATTGAAAAAAATCCCATTTTGGTTGACTGGATCAACATTTAACTGACTGACAAATTACTCAGGAGAGACTTAAAGTTTTTAAACTAGAAACATATGATGGCTCCTTTGGGAAATTTTACCTAAATTATCCACCAAAATAATGAATGGATTAGTGGTGAGAAACTGGCTCTGCAGGTACAGAATCACGCCGTCATTTAAAAACTACAGCCTGTACCTTTAACAAACATCTTGGTTTGGGAGTTGAGAGTCAGGTTTCAACTTAAATTCAAAATATAGAACTGCCCATGGTCGACAGCGACACCCGCTCCCCGTGGTTTAAGGTCTGATTGCTTTGGCTTCCAGCTGCCATGCTCAAATTGATTCTCAGTGGATGTTTTCCAAAATAATTCTTGGAGCTTTTGAGATCTGACTTTGTGACGCTAATTTATGGATACCATCTGTCAAAAAGCAGACGGCTTCCTAAAGGTTCTGCAGAGTAATTTACCTGCAGAGGAGAATCAAGGCTGTCGTCTTCTTTCACAATCGGTGTGCGTTTAGTGGTGGTGGGAACCTCGTACGTCATCACACTCCATCTAAAAAAGACACACAAATAACCACGCCTATGTCAAAATTAAACTTTATTGTCAGCTAATCAGATCAAGATAGGAGGACAGGAAACAGGAAATCAAAACACATAGCCCTCTTGTCCTTTTTCTATCTGTGATTGTACTGCTGATAAAAACAGCCGATAAAAACAAACCCACCTAGAGTTCAAGGTGAGGACGAAGGAATCATTAAACACCTGCAAAACACCAATTTGAAGGACGTCCTTTTAATTATAGATACATACAATATACTTATTTGCTTCCTTGTTCAGAGTGAGATGAGAAGATTGATACCACTTATGTCTGTATGGTAAATATAAAGCTACAGCCAGCAGCTGGTTATAGCTTAGCTTAGCACAAAGACTGGAAACAGCCTGGCTTTGTCCAAAGGTAAACAAAAATCACCTCGAAGCACCCCTAGCTCACTAATTAACATGTTACATCTCGTAAGTTAAATTAGTTCAAAGTGTAAAAACAAGTAGTGGTTTCACATTTTTTTTAAACTAGGGTTTGGATGCCTTTTTAAAAAACAAAAAAAGTCGGTAGTTGATGTAGGATATGGATGACCATGATAGTTGACGTACGCCATCTTGTCTGCAGCTGCAGAAGATACAGGGTTATTTAAGGACTTGGACTGGGATTGGTGCCTACAAAAGTTGATCAGAATATATGCTTTTCATGTAGGCACGTGTATTTCTCTGTGAACATGAAGCCTAGCAATCCCAAGACCCAAAAGTCACTGGTTGATTTATAGGCTTGTTTTCAACCTGATAATTGGGAAACCATCAACCATCAGCAGCCAATTATGCACTAATGCTACTCCATGTTCATCTCTGAGGTATTAGAACTTATTTCTAATGCTGTTTATGAATCTCTCCCAGTGGTATAAATAGAAATAAACAGCCTGTAGTGCTTTTTATCTAATTATCTTTATTGCTTGCTCCAGTCTGCTGCCCTTGAGAGATATATAACCCTAAGGAGGATCAGAGTTATACATGGAATTCATTAATTTGTTCATTTGGGATTTCCTCCAACTTATATCATCCTGGACAGTTTTCCTCTCATCACAGGACAGACACCCACAGTTTCATTTATGCTCTAACTAAAAGCAATCCATCTCAAAATCAGACCCCAGTCCACCTAAACTGAACTTACCAAGTGTCACGTAAAAGACAGGAAACTAAAGCCCTCAAAACATTAATTTCACAACTACGTTAGTTTGCTAAGAAGAAATTGCTGCTAAGCATATTGTCCCCCCCCCGACTCTCTCTCTCTCCCTCTGGTCTTACCGGTCCAGCATTTTGGTCGTGGCTCTCTCCAGCTTCTCCAGGATCTGCAGCAGCTGAGCGTCGTCGTCACAGAGGCCTCCCCAGCCCAGAACACGAGCCAGGTCGTTCCCTGTGCCGAGAGGCAGCACGCCAAGCTGGCACTAGAGAAAGAAAAGAATCACATTTCAACACGATCAGAGGTTATATCAGTACATCATCTGCAAACAAGTTGATTAAAACCCATTTTTGATCAAAAGCAGACAAATTATTTATTAGAAACTGGGTTGTTTTCATATCTTCCAGCAAAATGCAGTTAAATCAGGTGCTTCTCAGTTCAAGGAGAACAAAGGGGAGCACACTGATTAATTCAGAGCCTTTAATTGTGCAAACACACTAATGTTTTGACTCTACTGTGTCTTCATCAGTCAAAATGAGCAAAGAAGGAAAACAACATATATAGACAACGTAGAGCAGGTGTACAATTGTCACTGGAAAAACAGGTTTTATTAGATAATGAAGATTCATTATGTGACTGTGATGAAGACACAGTAGTGTTGAAATTATAGTCGGTTTGCACAAATAAAGGCTGTGAATTAATCAGTGAGCTCCAGTCCTTCTTTTGTTCTCCACAAATTATTAATGTTTGGAAAAATACACCTGTCTCATTAATCTAAATCAAAAAGAGAGCCAGCCACAGACTAGAGATTTTGTCTACACAAATACAATTCAAGTGTACGTTTTAGACTTTTACCCCCCACAGGAACCAGCAAGACAAAACTGTCAAAACATACTGTTAAACATACAGTATATTTACCAACATTAGAACTTTGTTCTCTCTTGTCCTTTATCATAAAGCATCACAAATTGTTTGGGTTGATAAACATGGGCACACCGGTTATAGTTTACTTTAATATGATAAGTTGCAGATATAAATTGAAGTGAATATGACTGATGTGAACAGTAGACAAACAGTAATGTGATGCAGGGGACCAATAAGAAACCTTAACTTGGTCAGTAATTGAAGCTTGTGAATTGACTCAGCCTGAGTGCAAACTGTGAAATTGCAAAAACATTGTATGATTTGTAATTTATCCCTTTTGTCAAAATCTTACAAATCAGTGGAATGAGTTTATTATACAGAACAGGATAGAGGAAATTACGGACGGTGATAACAGACGCAAATGTGTCAAAACAACGTGAAGATCTTGATAAATAATTTGAAAGTGAGAACCATCACAGTGGCGGACCCTTGACATTAACTGGTTAATCTGTTTGATGACTGATTTCACACTGCACTTATTTATCCCAATTAAACACTTATTTAAATTAAAAACCATGATATCGGACATAGCTTTCATTGATTTGGATTAATTCCATGACGTTAATTAATTAGTTGAGGTAAACAGTGTATCAGTTTATTTCACCCATTGCATCACTTTCTCTTCGCCCTTGTCCGTCACTGACACAATTTATTATTTCCTTTCTCTTTCCCTCTATTTCCCAGTTCACTTCCTTTTTGGGGTTGAGTATGGGGTCAAAATGTCACCAGGTGTTCAACACTATTTTGCATTTTTCAGATTCCATTTCAATGGACAGCAAAAGCTACCTCTTGTACATTGGTACAAGAGGTAGCTCGCTGCTTTCTCTTGCCCATCAGCCTTCTCCATAGTCACCTTCAATATTATATCATCATCCCCTCCTCCTCCTCCTCCTCCTCCTCCTCACCTGTTTATGGAGGTTGAGTTTATCCAGCTCTGAGAGCACCCAGCCCACACTGCCGTCTCCTCCGCACACCAGTATACGAAAAGTCACAAACTTCTGGAAAAGGCGCAGGCTGGGGGAGGAGAGCAGGGAGGATGAGGAGAGAAAGAGGAGGAAGCAAAGCACAAAATGTTAAGAGGTAGATGTCATGAAAAGGTAGCAAAATTACAGCATTAGCACTTGCATTAAATAGTCGTGACAAACTTGAAACTCCTACTGTTAACAAGTCAATCTAAAGACTTTCTGCTTTTTTGTAACCTGACATATAAGCGATGCATTTAAGTACCCGAGCTCTGGTCCCCCGTTCATCAGGTCAAAGACTTGAGCTGGGTTGAGAAGCTGCTTGAACTTGCGGAGGAACTTCACCCCCTGATTATCTCCACTTTTGGAGTTGACCAGGACCAGGAGGGGGCTGGTGCACGACGCTGAGGTGGCTTTCCAGAAGCCTGAAAGGAAGGATCATAAATGGATAGAATATGCTTTGAAAAATTAAGACTGGGAAACATTTCTGGCACTTAGATTCCAAATGTTGGCAATCACACGATTCATGTTGGGAAAGCTGAATGTGATGAATCTGGGATTTTAGAGAACTGGAATTGTCTCAAAATTGTATATTTCTGATAACAAATGCCTTTTGTGTCTCGTCTGAATAGCAATAATATGTAGAAATAAGACAGAATATGTTGAAAATATTCCTCTTTTCTTCAAATTTCTACTAGAACAGTTTGTCCAAGCATGATACAATTTAAAATGGTTGTTTTATTACATAAAAAAATATAAAAGATCTAAAGGATTTGCCTGGAATTGAGAAGCTATTTGTGTAACAGTAGAAAAAGGGTCAGTTGCAATGTCACGCCCTCTGCATCCAAAGGATTTACACAGATGGAGTTGAAAGGTGACTTTCCTGAACTTTGAACCTACTGTACATGCAATACTCACTGCCTGTGTGTAAGTGTGTTTGTGTGTGGGTATACAAGGTGTCTCACCATCTGAGTCGATGCTGTTAAGTGCAGTGGGAGGGATGATTGACACTCGACATTGACCCAAGGGACACACCTTCCCCATTTGTTCTTTACAGCTGTTGTGGACCTGCAAGCGCATGCACGCACACACACACACACACACACACACACACACACACGCACATATACACACACACAGTCAGTGGTCTCCACGGTAATTCTATATTTCAGTAGAAGCAGAAAGGTCATTACATCCCTCTGAAACCCACCAAATGTCAGTTCTATAACCTTTACAAATACCACTCTGATTCATTTGTGTGCGTTTCTGTGTGTGTGTGTGTGCTAAGGATTAATTTGCCCTAAACACTCAAAAGCAATTCAGCCTTTGCTAAAAGGAACTGTGAGATAGAGTAAAGTTACATCTCTGTAACTGTTTGAGTCTTAAAAGGACAATTTCCACTTGACTTTTCTGCTCAATTCCTTCATTCCCACATATTTTTACAGCAACGTTTTAGAACTTATATCACACCATGAGATATTCTTTCATGTTTTCCAACAACGTAAACTACATATTTTGAAATGTATGCCAAATTGTGTACTCGTGCTAAGTGAAGGTTGGCTGGTTTTAGGCTGTAACTAACTTAGCCCATATAATTCAGCCTTATTTTGCTTTCGTTTTATGAACTACAGCATGGGCGAAGTTTCAAGCTTTTGTTTGTCTTTTGAACGAGTTGAGATGCATGACTAGTTTTAAAAGTAAAATAAGGCTTAAAAAAACAGAAGACGTGTACATAGGAATCACTAAACCAAACAATACGACTGCTCTTGTTTTTGGGTTGTTTTCTGTGCTGCTCTGAACCGAATGGGAATGAAGGAGAACGAGACCTCTGGCAACGCTGGTTTAAATTTATACTGAATCATGGTGTGTCCATAAAAATAAAGGCAACAGCTAACATTGAAGCTGCATTATTTTATTTATTTTGCCTATTGGGAACAGCTGAAATTCAAACATTACGCATTATCACATTATGAAGTTCTTAAGGTGTTTGCAAACATATTTACATTTCCAGCAGATATGGAGCAACATTATTATTCATTTGAACTCACGCTATTTGCTGCTGTGTTCACCAGCTAACTCTGTTGTTTGGTGCTGCACGAATAATATACAGTGGGTTTATTGGAGCTTTTAAGCTAAAAACAATGCTGACAGGAGCAGTAAAATGTAACCAAAAAAATAAAGATGTGGGCAGTCCAACCAAAACAAAGAGCTGAAAGACACAGAGTGGGTTTGACACTATGAGTGACACTTTTTTTTACAGTACACAGTACTTTGATCAGTTGTTAATATAAAAATATTGAATAGTGCAGCTTTAACCTTAAAGGCATTGAAAATGACTTAACTTTGGTTAAACCTTGCACACTCCAGATGTGTCACATGGATTAGCTTCACTAAATCATATTTTCATCAGTTTTGTTTATTTATTTTTTGACAGTATTAGTGCCATGTGGGGCTCTGGAGGCCATACTAAGCATTGTTAATGTCTTTGCACAGGAAAATTATTCTCCTTATATTGCTTGAGGCGGTCAGAGCATCAAGTCAGACTCAGAAACCCTGGACAGAAATTCATCAGCCCCATTTCATTTCTCATTTCAACCTGCCCTCCTACTCTTCCCCTTGGGGATCTGTGCTGCCATCTTAAGTGCCGTCCCATTACTTTGATGACTCGACTGAACTTTTCAGACCTTGAGTTTTTGAGGGTTGGGGGAGTAAGTTAAGAACAATACAAAGTTTGGGGAGCACATCTCAAGTACACTGAGAGTCACAACTAGTAAATTAAAACATTTTATTCTCCAATTTTTCATGTTTTCCAATCACAAATGTTGCACCTTGAGTTTGAATACAGAATCACTTCCTGTATTATCCCGAAAAGTTGGTTTGAAGAGGCTGCTTTGCATTTAGACAGCAGCTGGAAGCCAGAATTTGGGAAACTCAAATCAAAATTTTGGCTCACTGCAGACTGCAGTTTTTTCCTCCAACCAGAATTAACTGGGGCAGCTTCATCAAACTGGACTGACATTGGCTCTACTACCATTTGAATCATTGATGATGATGTTTGATTTAAAAACCCGTGTATAAATTTCCTAAGATGTAAACTGAAAATAACTTTCCAGCTAGCAGTGATGTCCTAAATAAACACTAACACTGATTTGACAAGACAGTTTTTTGACAGGGTAGACGCCACAATCAATCCCACTTACGATGGCCTTGCACCAGAGGCAGCGCCAGTCCTGCAGCCGCCGCACGCTGCCACAGTTCTTGTCACACACCACACATTTGGCACTGACCGGCAGGTTGCCTTCCAGCCACTGGTGGGGCATGAACACCTGGGGAAGAAAATATGGAAAACACAGAGAACATGAGACATCTTCTGTCCTGAGCCCAGGCTCATTTGACTTGAATTATTTATATGCAAAGATTTATGAAAATGTAAAAAACAACGCCCAATCACTCACCCCTTCCTCATCCTCAATGATGTCATTTCCTATGGAGGCCAGCGTGGTCCATTTGCAGTTGTTGGTAGAGCGAACTGCACAGCGCTTATGAGCCTTGAACTTACAAACTGGAGAGGACAGATCAATAAATGTCGTGTTAGACGAAGTGAAATAATTAAATACAATTAAAATACATACAGCGCATTGACACGAGGTGCTGGGCAAGCTGTCGCACATTTTTCACACGGCAGTAATTAATTAGGAATTAAGCAAAAAGACATGACAAATCAAGAACAAGTGACTTGGAAGTGCATTTTAATCAAACTTTTGCAGAGAAATTTAAATTCCCACTAATACTCAATATACTCATAGTACCCTATTACCCCACTAGAACACTACGTTCTCTGAATGCTGGGCTACTTGTGGTTCCTATAGTCTCTAAAAGTAGAACAGGAGCCAGAGCCTTCAGTTACCAAGCTCCTCTCCTGTGGAACCAGCTTCCAGTTGTGGTTCGGGAGGCAGACACCCTCACCACATTCAAGAGTAGGCTTAAGACATTCCTCTTTGATAAAGCTTATAGTTAGGGCTGGATCAGGTGAGTCCTGAACCATCCCTTTGTTATGCTGCTATAGGCCTAGATTATCGGGGGATTTCCCATGGTGCACTGAGCTCCTACCTTCCTCTCTCTTTCTGCACTCATTCATGTCCCATTAATGCATGTTACTAACTTCACTTCTTCCCCGGAGTTCTTGTGCTTTCTTGTCTCGCAGGTTCTTATCAATCCTGGTGGAGCCTCCTGCCATGGTCCTGCTAGATTGCCATTGCCAATACTGTTGTTGCTGTGCACCTGTCTGTCTGTCTGTCTGTCTGTCTGTCTGTCTCTCTCTCTCTCTCTCTCTCACCCCAACTGGTCGAGACAGACGACCACCCACCTAGAGCCGAAGGATCTGTCCTAGGCTTTTAACAGGCAGTTTTTCCTTGCCCTTGTCGCCAAGGTCTTGCTCATGGTGGTACTGTTGGGTCTCTGTAATTAATGTTTTAAAGAGTTCGGTCTAGACCTGCTCTATTTGAAAAGTGTCCTGAGATAACTTCTGTTATGAATTGCGCTATACAAATAAAATTGAATTGAATTGAATTGAATATATACCGGTAACTGACCTAGAAACGCCACACTGTGTGTGTGTGTGTGTGTGTGTGTGTGTGTGTGTGTGTGTGTGTGTTCAGAATTTTACAACTGCTGATATAGAGGTCAGGAATTGATTTTACTCAACTGTTTCCAAGGTGTCAGCGTGTCAAGCTAGTGATGAAACCTGCCTTCCCCTGCAATAAGGAGCTATAAACCTTTACACAGCCACGTGCTCTAAATGCTGTGAAGAGACTATCAGTAAAGAGGAGCCTCAGTAGAGCCTCAGTAAACCATGGTTGGTTAGTTGGTTGAATCCCTCAAGTAATGTGTCTTCAAATGTGTGTTATTTGTGTGTGTGTGTGTGTGTGTGTGTCTTTGTACCTTCACAGGACAGGCCGTGGGAGGTGACGCCTGGCAGAGCCTCTCTGCAGACGTTGCAGAAGGTCGGTCTGGCGTGCGAGCAGGCGTACCAGTTGTGCATCCCAGAGAAATGCTCCATGTTGAATTGGCTGGCCTGGGGAAGGAGGAACATGAAAGGAGAGGACAATGACATCAGCCCTCCTTGTTAAACTTCGGAGGTGGGAGCACAGAAGGACAAAACAAAAATCATCGGAGCGCAACATCAAAAATAACTAGCCTGGGGGGAGGGGAGATATTGCAGGATGGGACTATGGCTTGTTACATTCTATGCTGAACTAAACAGCCAGAGGAAGCGTGGACACAAGGATAAGATAATGACATCAGTAGTACATATTAAACTTTGTGGCCTTTAGCCTTTAAAGATGGTAGCACAAGAATGTCCATCCTGTCAGAAAGTATTCATAAAACTGAAGATATCACAATGTCGGATCCCACATTAGGATTGGAGAAGATGCAATCCACAGTTTGATCCCTCACAAATGTGCAGAACTAGAAAATAAAGAGGAGCAACACGTGAACTAGGAATAACGAGGTATAAGGCTGTGACATAAGTTAAAACCCTAAATGTGAGCAACATTACGAGACGGATTTTTTCAGCACAGGTATGATAGCAGCTTACAGTCCTCAGCTCTCTTTATAGCCTATTAAAGCAGATGGGTCTGATTTTATGAGCGACATCAATCTGCTGGCAATAAGCTCCAATGAAAAGCAGAGAGGATGAAGGATAGAATGGCGGAAGAGAGAGAGAGAGAGAGAGAGAGAGAGAGAGAGAGAGAGAGAGAGGAGATGGATGAGCGGATTTTCCTCCAAGAAAGTAGAAAAGATGGATACTTTGAGAAAAGAACAGATGGAGGAAGAATTAATGAATGAGGTGTGAAGCCTGTGCTCATCAAAATAGATTACACGCTCATGCTGACTGGCTTTTATCAAAGGATCATCAATTTGGCACATTTCTAATATTCTGATGTCAGCCAGCAGAATAAATAACAATGTTGTGAATATGAAAGAGGCTGCCAGAGATAAAAAAAAAAAACAACCTCATAGGTTTCCCATTTTTGGACGGATTTGAGAGCGCTGATCCAGTCCTCCATTTCCTTCCTGCTCTCGGCACATAACATTAGTTTGCGAAATGGAGTGATCACCTGAGAGAGAACGAAAGTCTGAGCTTAGAAGTGAACTCTTTTCTTCAAACCTGTGAGAATATTTCATCCGAAGCCAAATATATATACCTCATTTAATCATTTCTAAACATCATATCACATTATTGGGATTGAGCAGCCTTTCACAGCCATGCTAGCAGCTCTGTGAAGCTTGTATTTTGAGACCGGTCTTGTTGCTCACCGTGAAGCTGTTGTTGATGTTCTTTGTGCTGGTCTCGGCCACACTGGCGTCTGATAGGTCCACTTCATCAAAAATCAGAGACTGACAGCAAGACAAACAATGCAAACATTAGCTCATCTTTTGAGTACCATATCCAGGTAATGTACGTAAAAGACACCTCTCAATGAAATATAAACCAATCTATAGTAAAAATATCGACGATGTTGTGTGGTTTTGGTTTCACAGCTCAGGGAATTTGCACTTGCAACAAACAATTTGATCATTTAAAGCAGGTAGTTTCACACATGCTTGTACCTTGCAGTCTTTGGCATAGTAGAGGGTCCTCCCTCTGAGTTTAAAGTACCTCCTCTTCCATCTCTGGAAAGAACTGGTCTGTTTTAACAGGATTCCCTCCTTCACACTTTTCTGTGGCGAGACAGAGTCGGGAAAAAAAAGACAGAGAAGACATAGTGGAAGAGAGATGGGAGGAGAGGAGAAAGGAGAAAAAAAAACAGACGTTAGTGCATCCAGATCCTCTGAATAAGTAAGGAGACAGCTATTCTTCCTGGAGTTCACACATAAACAGAAGGAGATCAGTTTGGATAGTGTCACTAAGACGGCTTGTTTGCTTTTTTTTGGGTGAGACACACAACAGAGAGAGAGCTGCTCAGAAGAGCAGAGAGGTGTTGACTGAATCTGTCAAGATAGCAGACACTCACAGAAACATTTACTTACAGGACGATACCAGTGTTTTGTGCATTTTCAAACACCCTCAAGTGATTTCATGAAATGCATGTTACTAATTTATGATTAGGAAAGTCGGGGGGGGGGGGACGAAAGAGCACACTCGTCTGTTAATGCAGCAAAAACACGAGAGGTAATCTCCTGTACTTCCATTACAGGAGCAACAGTGATGAGGTGATGCAGTAGGTTGGAGGGGCAGCCATCCGTGTCTGCGTGAAAATTACTAACATGGCCATGATTTGATTTGATACCATGGATTTTACAGAGCAGAAGCTCCCCACTGATTCCATTGTGGCGGCTGTTGTTTGACTTCACCCTTGTCTGCGCCTCTGCTTATCATGCACTCGTTTTTTTCTCGCTCTCTATTTATGAGTGCGTGCCCTGAGAAGACAGAATGCACCATGGGTAATCAATTTGAGATAGGACATCGGGGGTCGCCATGGAGATCCTCATTTCTCGAACAAGAGGATACCCGGGGCCTGGTGATAGACGCTGGCGCAGGCCACATTCACACACGCTGATGCAATCTCAGACACTGATCACGTTACTGATGGCTCTCTCCGGATACCTGCACGTTTATCACCCGACGTAGCCACATTCCTGCACGCGTCACCACGGCAGCTCCATTGACAAGCCTGTGACTCGCTTCGGCGAGCGCACATGTGCCGCTCGCATACTTTCATGGCAGAAACCGACACCAACTGTCTCTGGGGTTTGATAAAGCTGGATCGGATAAGCTGGAAATGTGTTGGCGGACGACATCCAATAGTTAAATACAACAGGAACTTTCTTGTCAAAAAGAATACAACAAACTGTGCTAGAATGACCTTTAAGCTGATTTTAAGAGACAACAATAATGCAAACATTTTCAATACATTTCTGTAAAACATCTTAAAATAGGGTTGCAACAGTATTTTTTCAGGTTCTCACAGTATGATTTCACAGTATATGTCAGAAAATATCACAGTAATACACAGTAAATTATCATTATCAGTTACAATGACCCTTAAAGGAATTAAAACAGAAAGGGTTTTTAGTTGAACAAACACTATATACTTATAATTTCATTTTTATAGCACTAAATACAACAGAGTTCAAGATTTTTTTATAATAATACGCTAGAATTCTTTTTTTTTTCGTCTAATAAACACTAATATGCCAGAATTCAATACCATGGATAACAAATGCATATGGTATAAAAACCATCAATTTTATACTGCTGCAACCCTAATCGCCAATTATTTGCTACAACAGGAAAGGAATAATCACACTGCTCTTTTACGAAAGCCATCAGGACAATTTCCTGCATACTGTAATCAGCAAAAAAAAAAAAAAAAGCTTATCTAATTGTCACCCAGATTCAAATGTTCTTCTACGTCATCTGTAATGAAACAGCTTGCACAATCTGCACTGCCACTACAACCTGTGGGCAAAGGTCAACTGAGTGTGAGCATGTGTATCGAGGATGTTGAAATAGTTTGAACAGGAGAAGTTTAATAGTGTTTCCAAATATAACTTCCACCATCTATCCTAAACATCTGATTCTATCTGTGTTAAGGAGCAGAGAGGTTTTTACTGACACAATTTTGCAACCTGATATGAGGAGAAAGTGCTAAAAAGAGATTGGAAAGGAGAGGCGGAGAGGATATTGTTTTTGTTATCTCTAAATCAGGAGCAAACTATTAAATTGCACTGTAATGAAAACACAGGACAGGCAATAAGAAAAGACTCTTTCCATAACACAGGTATGTTGTTTTTCTAACGTAATCTACCAGAGTTCTCAAGAAAGGCTGACTGAGAGCAGTTGGCTCACCAGGAACTTGGCAGGGTCTCCGGATCAGTGCATGACAGTCCGTCCTGAAGGATAATTCAAGGTTCAGACAGGAGGTTTGTCACCTGCATGACAACTACCAACAAAACCACAAGCTGACAGCGGGACAAGGGAAGGTTTTCTTGTTTTAGATTTAAGATTTAAGAAACTGAAAGAGTGTGTGACAGAGCAAAAAACATAGAAATGTCATAGTGGGGGCCTCAGTTTACTAGTTAATGTTGCATTGAAGTCAACAATGCAATTCAATGTATCACTGGGGCTGGAATTAATACCAGAAGGACATGTATGTTCCACATTTTAATCATTTTAACACAATGCTAATTTAGTACGTTACAAACAACCAAGTTGTCTCTTATGCTCTTGGAAAAGATTAGTAAATCAACTGAAACAACCTAATGACCTAATCCTAAATAGTGTTAATAATACACGACTAGATCCTATATCATTAACCGATATTGGCCTATCGCCCATACCAGTATCGTATCGGTATTGGCGTTTGCATCATCCGATATACGATTTATTTTGTCAGTGTTCACTTATAGAGTCGGTTGACAAAGTAAGCCTATATGTTAGATTATTTAACGTGTTAAAGAACTTTTGTTTGTTTAATACAGTGTAAGAAAACTGAGTAAACTATATTGGCTACCATATCAGTAATCAACGCATTTTTCTCCTCTAAAATTATTATCGGTCCCATATCGGTCTGGCTTTATACACTACAGCTTTTATATTATCAAGATAAATGTACGAGAGCATCACAGCGTGTGAGCATTAGCTTACAGTTGCTCACTAATGTGCCTGTACTAGCTACGCTTCTGCTTCTTCAGTACTTATAGTCCATTTAGTCTGTTACCTCGTCAGCTAACATCTCATACATTACTGTATGTGGTACAGTGGTTCGCTGGCTAACTGTGTTTTGCATTTTATCAGTAATCTTATTTAGCATGAAGGCTAAGAAAGAGGAAGATTAAATACACACTGGAGGTAAAGTGATGGATATATAGTTGTAATCTGTCTTTACATCTTCCTCTCTCTCGTTATCTGTTTCTCTTTTAGCTGCATTATTTCTGTTAACATGTTTGTTTCCCTCCTTCCCCATCTCTCTTTCTATCTCAGTGTCACTCGTTCGTCTTTCTGGCTTTTCCTCTTCATCCTATAGTAATTCCGTCACTTTCTCTGGCCATCTTTCTTTGCAGCAATGGCCCTGGCGGTCTGCACAGAGGGAGTAATACAAGGCTGAAGCACTGATAAATCTAATTCATCGTTCTATCACTATCTCATTTCTCAACTGGATCTGTGTGTCTGTGTGTTTGTGTACATGTGGGTCCATGAGATATCTCGCCTTGTAATGGCACATACAGCTTCTTGTGCTGTCACAGTGCATGTTTCTTTTCCCTAGAATTAATGTGCTTTTACGCCCCGAGGGAGAGCAAATCTCATATTGTCACACTGTTGCAGAGAAAAAGAGAGAGGAAAAGAAAGAGGGGGTGGAAGAAGAAGAAGAAGGGAAGGACCGATGGTGGAAACCATGATAGATTGCCCCAATGGTATGGATCATTAGCGAGAGGCGAAGAACGAGAACGGGAAGAAGATACAATGCAGGAATTACAACTAACAGGGATCCTGCAGGGACGACATGAAAGAGAAGAACACAAAAGAACAGGCAATGCCTTGAAGTTGAAGGAGAAAACACACAGAACAAGAAGGTGTAAAGGTCTCTTTTGACCCGAACCACCTGACACGTCGGAGATAACGGCGAGGTGTAACCAATCGGGCTTATCCGTGGTTGCCACAGCAACACCAACGGGAGCCGTCAGTCAAGAAGCTAATCAGAGTGTTTTTGTTTGACAAACTAATGACATAGCAACCGCTGATGTAGCTGAAGGACGTACTGTAAGTTAGACCCAGGAACTTAAAGAGGCTGGTGGCTGCATTTAAAGCAGGCCGGTGGTTTGAATCCCGAGTCGCTAACATCTGGCTAGGCTAGCGTACTTTATTGTGAGCCGTTAAGCTAAACAGATAATATATGTGAGATGTATGGAGTATTTGAGTTTAAAATAAATATTTGAATCATCGAGTTTCAGCTTCAACACATTGATTTACTGTAAATCAAGTGAAAGCTAAAAGCATTAACATTTGATAAAATGCTGTTTTATCTACAGTAAAACTGAAGTCCTCCAGCAGATTATTTTCACATGCACATCCAACAATATTTCTACTGTTCATATTAAAAGGCGGAGGACTATAAACAGCTCTCATATTAATGCAATACAACTGCACCACCTACTACAGCCTCAGCTTTTACCATAAAGTTGAATCAACACCTTTTTAAAACAAAAAAACTGAACATTATAACCCGCACGAAGGAAGGATTCAGACCTTCAGTGACCTAGATGGAACTAATAAACTGGTATATAATGAATATCATAAGGAAGGTAACCCACAAGGCTTGTAAAATACCACAACTGAAGTATTCCTATACGTGACATTCACAGGATCAAACCCACCACGTGTTGAATTCGGTCACATTTCACGAATCGTGGTGAAAGTTGCACAAAAAAGGTGCACGTGTTATGTGCACCACCGAGAGCGCAACTGGCAAGAATTAACACTGGGAGTTTAGAGAAGCAAAGTTTATATTATGTGTGTTGCAAGTGGGATTATGGACGGGCGTAGTCACTGTTATGGTGACGCATTTGGGCAGCAACCACGCAGGTTAGATTCCGGTGAACACTTGAATCTGCATTGGAGTATGACGATGATGTTTTAACCTATTTAGGGTGAAATTTGCACAAAAATAAAACCTTTGCAATCTGGGTGCAAAGTTTAACCGCATACTCAGGGTTACTAT